TATATATATACTAGCTTGGGAACCCAGCGCCGGCCCAGGTTAATGAAAGTTACTCATGCCGTTTACTCGCACTTGATCGATTATACCGGGAAACTAAATTTTCTCTATTAAAGCCGACCCACTCAACTTAAAATATAAAAACAAAGCTTAGAACATTCCCCTGGGTTTTCCAAGTTCCTCAATCAAAATTTGAGGCATTTCGGTCCAGGGGATTCTAAGTTATGATCGGACAAACAGAAAAACAGAGATTACAACTTTAAATATATAGATAGCAAAATTCGCATCACCCCTCCTTACTCCCCGACCCTTAGTTTATTTTTCTTCATCTATTTATTCGTATATTTGCAGAGCTTCAAAGCGCCCAAAACTGTTCCAGGATAAACTGTAAAACTTTATCAAATATTCAAATTAAATTAAACTCATTTCTGCCTGCTATCTTCCACTCTTGCCAACTTGCCTTAATAGAACTAGAAACCACAATCAAGGATTAGGAAAAGAAATTAAAATAAAATAGAAAGGACGCTAGAGAAATAGTGCGGACTCCAGAAAAAAAACTGACGGTAGATAAATCGCACAGATGGCAGATAAATAGAACAGATGATAGATAAATAGAACAGATGGTAGATAAATAGAACAGATGGTAGATAAATAGAACAGATGATAGATAAATAGAACAGATGGTAGATAAATAGAACAGATGGTAGATAAATAGAACAGATGGTAGATAAATAGAACAGATGGTAGATAAATAGAACAGATGGTAGATAAATAGAACAGATGGTAGATAAATAGAACAGATGGTAGATAAATAGAACAGATGGTAGATAAATAGAACAGATGGTAGATAAATAGAACAGATGGTAGATAAATAGAACAGATGGTAGATAAATAGAACAGATGGTAGATAAATAGAACAGATGGTAGATAAATAGAACAGATGGTAGATAAATAGAACAGATGGTAGATAAATAGAACAGATGGTAGATAAATAGAACAGATGGTAGATAAATAGAACAGATGGTAGATAAATAGAACAGNTATTAATTAATTATTAATTATTATTAATCTTGGGAACAACCATAGTTCATACCCTGCAATTAAGAGATTAAGCTTATCCTTAAATTTAAAAGTGTCCATATTAGATATAGAGATCAAGAGTTACTCCACACAAAAGTTCCGATCTATCCAACTATCTATCCAACTATCTATCCAACTATACAAATATATCCATCTATCTATTTATATGTCTATCAACCCAGCTATCTATGTATATATCTATCCAGCTATATATCCATCTATAAAGTTCCGATCTCAGCTTATACAACTATCTATCCAACTATACAAATCTATCCATCTAACTATTTTTATGTCTATCAACCCAGCTATCTATCTATCTATCTATCTATCCTTCCAGCTATATATCCATTCATAAAGAACTATCCATCTTTACAAATCTATCCATCTAACTATTTATATGTCTCTCAAACCAGCTATCTATCTAACTATCTATCCTTCCAGCTATATATCCATCTATTAAGATCGATCCAACTATAAAGATTTATCCATCTAGTTATCTATCTATTTGTGTACGTATATAAATATACTTCTATTTCTTTCTATCCTTCTCGCAATCTATCTATCTAACTATATTCATCTATCCTTATATCTATCTATATATCTATCTTCATCTATCCTTATTTCTATCCATCAGTCTATCCTATAAAGCCTGGTTTAACTATCTGAGGATTAGAATAACACATTATCTAAACCTTCAGGAGGGAAATTCAACAAATTTAGATAGTTATCTAGACAGTTGTTCAAATATCCACATTTTTCTTCTAAATATTTAAATAATTTCTCCAGATATCCTTGCAGTTGTTCAAATATCCAGACTTTTTGTTATAGATATCCAAATAGTATTTCCAGACTCTTAAATATCCAGATTTTTCTTTTAGATATCCAAATAGTTTCTCCAGATATCCAGATAGTGTTTCAAATATCCAGATTTTTCATTTAGATATCCAAATAATTTATCCAGATATCCAGACAGTTCTTGAAATGTCCAGATTTTTCAGATGTCTAAATAGTTTCTCCAGATATCCAAATACAAAGTATATCCAGAATACAGGATATCCAAATTACAGGATATCTAGAATACCAGATATCCAGAATACAGGATATCTAGAATACAGGATATCAAGAATACAGGATATCCAGAATACAGGATTTCCAGAATACAGGATATCCAGAATACAGAGGATATACAGATACAGAGGATATACAGAATACACAGGATATACAGAATACAGAGGATTTACAGAATACAGAGGATATACAGAATACAGAGGATATACAGAATACAGAGGATATACATAATACAGAGTAAAACCAGAATACAGAGGATATACAGAATACAGAGAATATACAGAATACAGGGGATATACAGAATACAGAGGATATACAGAAAACAGAGGATATATAGAATACAGAGGATATACAGAATAAAGAGGATATACAGAATACAGAGGATATACAGAATACAGGGGATATACAGAATACAGAGGATATACAGAAAACAGAGGATATATAGAATACAGAGGATATACAGAATAAAGAGGATATACAGAATACAGAGGATATACAGAATACAGAGGATATACAGAATACAGAGGATATACAGAATACAGAGTATAACCAGAATACAGAGGATATACAGAATAAATCTCCGAAACAATACAATATCAAAGTACAGAGGTCATTGAACCTTCTCCAGGATTGAGATGAAACCTTTAAACTTGTCAGATCTTGTGTCGCGAACATTTATTCTTCACGTAGAAAGAAATCAGTCTTCTTTGTTTGAGTTATTTTTCGCACATTTTTTCTTTTCATTTGTTATTTGATCGGCTTCAGGATACAAGATACATTTACGGGGTTACTAACAAATGATAAGACTGTCAAGGCGACCTGATATTCTAAAAAAACAATTTACAAGGTTTAATTTTAAATTTTCTGCATTGAATATGGTCTTTTAATGGCAGATTAAATGTTTTGGCAAAAAAAACTTCAATAGCAGGAATTTTTCAACGTAGGGAAACAGACAGTATAAATTCCATACAGTTGTCTCTGAAGTCTCATCCTTTATGGGTAACCCCTGTATTTATATCTATATTATATATCCCCTTCACTTCGATATTCCCTCTAATGTCCCCCAACACTGCCAATTTATTCAACCGTTTAAGACATGAAGTAGATTTGATTTAACAATTGTCTGATATAATTACGAATAAAAATCATATTTCTGTCTCACACCACACTCGAAACTAAACATTAGGAACAAGCTCAATTTTGTTGCGGTATTGCTGGTGAGTCTTTGTATCCTCGTAGCTCTTTTTTTTGTACCCGAACTATTAATTAATATATTAATAGATCTATTAATCTTATCGACAATTAAACCTTTGTTTAGGAGTTGACAAATAATAGATCTATAAATCTCATCAACAATCAAACCTCTGTTAATTAGGAGCTGACACATAATAGATCTATAAATCTCATCAACAATCAAACCTCTGTTAATTAGGAGCTGACAAATAATAGATCTATTATTCTCATCAACAATTAAACCTTTGTTTAGGAGTTGACAAATAATAGATCTATTATTCTCATCAACAATTAAACCTCTGTTTAGGAGTTGACAAATAATAGATCTATTAATCTCATCAACAATTAAACCTTTGTTTAGGAGTTGACAAATAATAGATCTATTAATTAATCTCATCGACAATTGAACCTTTGTTTAGGAGCTGCAAAATAATAGATCTATTAATCTCATCGACAATAACAGATCTCTGGATAAAAGTTCAGGTAAAACAAATTGTTGAGTACTTGCACTGTAAGTAGAATTAGGTGAATATGATCCCTACAGAGTAAACACAAAATGGGCGAACCTTGCTTAAAAGTAATCTATGATATCGGTCTGTGAGAAAGCAAAAACTATTTGTTTAAATGTATACATATATAAGTAAATAAGTTCTATGTATGAAGTGTATAACATGTGAATTGCGTAAATATCAACAAATGAAATGTTGTAAAACTACAAGAGGGCGACGTTGATTGATTGACTGTAAGTCAGTTGATAAATAGATAGGTAGACTTGATTGACTTTAAGTCAGTTGATAAATAGATAGATAGACTTGATTGACTGTAAGTCGGTTGATAAAAAGATAGGCGGACTTGATTGACTGTAAGTCGGTGGAAAAATAGTTTTTCATGATTGAGTGAAAGGAGCGATTAGGGTTTGCGGGTTTGATGGAATAGTTTAAAACATTTGTAAATATTTCTGAAAACATAAACCCGGTTTTTTAAGTGGAATTAACTATTGATTACAAAGTTATTTATGGATTTGATCTTTCACTTAGTAAAATGATTCACTGTTTTGATTTTCCTTTATCTGGGTAGAAAGGTAGAGTCGCAGACATTGCTTGGTTTAAGGACTTTGGATTTGGGCTGGTAAAGACGACATGACGTGAGGCTTTGGTTAGGAGATAGGTTTAGGTCAAGAAATGTACATAATATTATTATACGTACATCATAATATGAAGTATTGTACAACTTTTTTTGAAAAAGAAAATCCACATAATTTAAAGTTTAATTTTATTACTATTCTAATCAATATTTTAATACCTTTATCTTTGAAACCTGATGGCATAAACCGTTGATACTTTAAATTTCGACTATTTGATCTAATAAAGATTTAAGTTAGAAATATCAAATGTCTACGACATCGGGATGCAAAGATACAGGATTAGAAAATCAGACCATGTCACAACAACTCAATTCCTTTTAGATATTTAACATTCAAGTATTGTATTGTATTGTATTGTATACAAACATTAGGAATTTATCTATTAACTCTTTCAGACATTACATTAGACCTTGACAAAATACCCAGATATACAGAATATATATATATATTTATCGATTTATTCAGCAAACCATGTTACAAATATGAAAACATTTACTGTATTTGTTATACTCCCCTACACAGTGCACACACCCACATGTACATGTATAGAAATATAAATAAATATATATATAAAAGTTGCACAATTTTGTTAAATTAAAAAAGGCATGAATGTTTCAAAACAAGCCCAAAACTATACCCAGCTGTAGCAAAACTATACCCAGCTGTAGCAAAACTATACCCAGCAGTAGCAAAACTATACCCAGCTGTAGCAAAAATCAGTTTTTAATGAATAATGGTAAAAGAGCTTCGTATAAAAGAAGGGCACTGTCGACGTAATTTTAAGTGACATTACATTTAAAAATAGGGGGGCATGTCCGATACACAACGGTTCCTTAGAAACCTATAAACTCGATCAATAATGGGAAAAAAAACGTAGTTTTGTTATGTCTAGAAAAATGCTTCTAAAGAAAGAAACAAAAAATATAAATAAACAGATACATGGATATCCATATCCAATTCAAATTTGAGCAAGCAAAGCATAAATTAATGACAACAGATAGAATACTAGACGTCTTCTTTTCAGGATAAGTAGTTTTTCGTTCACAATAACTTTAAAACAGACGCCCAAAGGGGTTACGCGCATTCTGCGTAGAATTACACGACAGAAAAAGAGCCTGTTCTACGCCGCATGCGCTTAACTCATTTGAGCTTCTGCCTCAGGGTTAATGTGAACGAAAAACCCCTAAATCTTGAAAATACAACATCAAGTGTTCTATTTCTGTTGCTATTAGCTATGAGGCAAAACTTGTAAAGATACCGCTGTGTTAAGTACGTTAATAGTCCTTTTAAATAACATTTTAGAGAAGAATTGTCGACAGAAGAACGAGATGAATAGTTCCTCATCTCATCAATCCTTGAATAAGCTCAACTTTACCTCAAACCACACCTCCAGTCCTCCCAACCACACCTCCAGTCCTCCCAACCACGCCTCCAGCCCTCCCAACCACGCCTCCAGTCCACTAAACCACACCTCAAGTCCACTAAATAACCTCACACTACCTAAAGAATTTATGAGTAAGTTAAAAATATAGTATTTTAACGTAATATAGTCTGTTAGAACGTTTTGTGTATTGCTATTCAAGACACTATTATTTCATTGTTCTGAAAAAAAATGTTCGTGGAATTTTCTGTTTATAAAAAAATGTCGACATTTTTTCCGGGTATTCACTTCTTTTGGGTCATGTGAGTTACGACAAAAAATATTGGGCCCGAGCGGTTCAGCCTGAGTGTACATATGCGGGGGAAAATCATGATTTGCACAAAAAGAAATCAAAGTTGGGCGTGTCCTATTTTAGCTGAAGGTAAAAATGTATTATGTAAATTTAACCCTTACAGCTTAGCGACNCTCCCTTCAATGTTAACAATTAAATTCATATTAAACACGAGCCTTCCCCCCTCTCCCTTTTTTGAAGTTTTGATAGAAATTTAACCGATCTAATTTGGGTAAATATTTTAGTTACTGAGTTTCGCTCATGAGTCATGACGTAGATATGAGTGCAGTGTATAAAAACCTTACAAAAGCATATTGATTTTCGTTTAAATTGACTTCTAAAGTTCTACTCATGTTTCAAATGATTGTTTTATTTAAATACATTAGATAGTTGTAATTTATGAATCCTTAAGAGGTAAACAGAAACAGGGAAATTAAAGGTTTTTCTTACTTTTTATTGCAAAATGTCGCTAATTTGATAATTTATAACTGAGTCTAAAACTAAAGAATGCGCGAAATTTAAGTTATAGCTAAAAAGCTCTGTAAAATAATAAGTCGCTACTTAAATATCAAACTTTCTCAATATAACTCCGGGAAATTTGAATTTCCCGGGAAAAATCTGAACCAATCAGAGAAAAGGATTTATGGAGAGATATTACGTAACAATTGCTCATCAGCTGTTTTTAAATTTTAAATTATTTACATATCCGAAAACAAACCGTTTTTTTGGGTGTACATGCAAACATTAATTAATCCAAAACGTAAAATGTATTCAATCAAGGTTTTCACTTTTAAATATAACTTAAAATTGAATGCCGCTTTCTCAGCTGAATGATGATTGATTGATAGACTAACTTGAAAAAATGCAGGATTTCAAAATTTTAACCCTGGGTTTTAATTCTAACTCGTTAAATATTTAAACCCAGGGTTAAAATTCAGGTTTAAATAAAGTCAGAAGTGGCATTTAAGCTGAAACTTAAAATTTAAGGTGGGAACTTTATTGATCATATTCTTTATCAGAGAACGCTTGATCTCGATAACCAATGTGGGTACTTTGAGCACCCACACCTTATCCCTTTATTTTATCTTATCCCTGCTTGGAACGAGTACGACCACAGCGGGATATCAAAGAAGAATTCAGAGGATGTCGAGATCACCACTTGATACCGGGATTCACAATACAAAAGTTCTCAAGTTTATCAGTTATACTAAATACAAATTGAACATCCTAAGCGACATTTTGTGATAAAATAAAAAACAAACATTAAGAATTTCTCTCTTTACAACAGAGGAATGCTAGTTCGAAACAAATGGTATTTTTTTTTGAAAAAGCAAGTTTATTCGATATTATCCTGTAATTCATGATTCTATTTTCATCCAGCTTCGAACATGTTCGGGGGAGCAAAGGTAAGTTATTCCAATATAAAATGTACAGAGGCCGAATTTAAAGAATTTGAGCCTGGGCTGAAATTTGAGACGCGGCTCAAATATGGTTGGTTCCACTTAAAATCACGTTCAATGTTTCAAGATTTAACCGGGCGCTCAATTGAAACCAGTTTTTGGCGGATTTTAGAACCATCAGCCATTTTTGGCCGACCCTTTAATGAGCTGCATGGTGGATTCACAACTGGACTATCTAAACCTATTTATAAGTGAAAATGAGGAAAATACTTGATCGATGTTTTTCTTATTTAACTTTAATGCCGCGCTAAATTTCAAATTTCCCGCTTCTTATATGTGGCTATGATTGGTTGAATTTTATACACTTTTCAGGATTAAGTACAAGATTAAGTTAGTCTCGAGATTAAAAAAAGAGAGGATCAAGCACTGATCTCTATATCCATCGTTCTAAAGTTTCCAGTTCAGATTAACGTCATCTCCCTACTTTTTTTCTCCTACAAAATGAAAATTGAAAGTTATAATTTTTTTAGATAATCACTTAAATAAAGGTTTAAAACGGGTCATTTGAAATTATTTAAGAAAACATAAAATTTTACCCAGCAAAAAATAGTGCTGCTGTCAAAATACGAGAGTTTCTTTTATACAGTGAAATCCCAATGGAAAATTAAGTAATATTTTTTAGATAATTAATTAGATAAATTTAAATTGGGAATCAATTTCATGGGTTGACACCAACACTAGTTTTTCTGGGTAAAATTATAAATTCGTTTATCAAAACTTTGCCGTTTTTGCGAGCCACTCAGGGTTCGCCAATTTTATATACAATTTTGTAAATTTCCAAATACTTTTTATTTCTATTTTTGGCTGGTTTATTAATTTAGATTTATTTCAAAGTATAATCATTTAACAACCTTTATCTGCAATCGTTAAATCTGAAAATTAAACTGTTTTATATTTAATTAACAATGACGTAATCTAGGTATTTCAGGAGGAAACCAATTTTCAATTAAACTCTATAGGACCTATCCGACCTCCCTCGCCTTTTCTCATTGTGGCAAACAAGGAACTAATTAATAGTTTAATCCCCCATGTTTAAACAACCTTTGTACTGCGCGAGCCATAAAACTATGGATCGAAAAGAATCCGAAACTTCAGCGATCATTCGCGTTTTTAATATTGTTAGAACATAATTCAACCAAGAGCCTAAATATCATAGTTTTATTTGTATCACTTAATTAATTTTCTGTTTTAAAAAAACAATTCTTGAACATTTTGTATTTTCTTCTTAGGCCACTTACCTCATGCCGAACACTTGATCTTTTTTACTTTCGAAATAAATATTTTTTAAATGTTTTAAAATTATTAAAATGTTGATCAGATCTTAAAAGGACCAGTTATTCTAAATGTTGGTGGAAAAAAGTAAGTATGAATAAATAAATGAACATTTTTTTATTTACACTTTTTTCGAAACAAAAAAAATCTAAAAAAACTGGAACTTATTTTACCCAAACTGTGATTTATATTCGAAAAGATTAGTTTTTAAAGTTGTGTATATTGTCTAATGTCCAGTGTAAACCTAAGATGAATAGTGTTCTATCCCCTGTATTGAGTATTTATCAGAGTTTATATATTCCGACCAGTAAATGATGCGTCCATGCACTCAGTTTATACCATCTTAGAACTGGGCATCCTTCCGTGTACGAACCAAAGTATTTTGAAAATTAAACTGGAAAATATTTTAACGGAAGATGTTAAGTTTTAATTCATTTGTTTTGTTTTTCCATCTGCCTTTGTCTTGTTGTTTTTCCATCTCCCTTTGTCTTGTTCCTTGTACTATTTTTTCATCGATCCGTTTGGTGTTCCGTATTCCTAGTTCTTGTTCATTGTTACCTGTTCCTTTTATGCTGTTCCCTGTAGCTTATCCTTGTTAATTAATCTACTTTACCCCTATAGGCATGAAGTAAGATGGAATACTCTTGACAAATATCCAACTTCGAGATTAGGCAGGCTCAGACACTGTGTTACTCATAGAGGTCAGTTTATACAGTACATAGAGGTCAGTTTATACAGGTCAGTTCATACAGTACATAGAGGTCAGTTTATACAGTACATAGAGGTCAGTTTATACAGTACATAGAGGTCAGTTTATAAAGTAAATATAGGTCAGTTTATACAGTACATAGAGGTCAGTTTATACAGTGAATATAGGTCAGTTTATACAGTACATAGAGGTCAGTTTATACAGTGAATATAGGTCAGTTTATACAGTACATAGAGGTTAGTTTATACAAAACATAGAGGTCAGTTTATACAGTACATAGAGGTCAGTTTATACAGTGAATATAGGTCAGTTTATGCAGTACATAGAGGTCAGTTTATACAGTACATAGAGGTCAGTTTATACAGTACATAGAGGTCAGTTTATACAGTGAATATAGGTCAGTTTATACAGTACAGGTCAGTTTATACAGTACATAGAGGTCAGTTTATACAGTGAATATAGGTCAGTTTATACAGTACATAGAGGTCAGTTTAAACAGTACATAGAGGTCAGTTTATAAATTACATAGAGGTCAGTTTATACAGTACATAGAGGTCAGTTTATACAGTACATAGAGTTTAATGAATTCTGCTTTAAGGGGCTGTCGACATAATTCCATGTGACTCCACATTTACATTATGTATTATGCCTGATTCACAACGGTACCCTATAAACCTTCATCTGTGCCAAAATAAAAGGGATATCTTGTTTTAATCCGATAAAAAATCTGCTAAGAATAAAGGAGATGGAGGGTGATTCTAATCTACGTCGTCAGTCCTTGTAGAAAGTTTGAATTCAAAACTGTGAATATTATTTTTGAAGTCAAACCTTATAGAAATCCAACGTATAGAAACCGCGAAGTATAGCAACAAGGCGTATTTCCGGGAGAACATTTTTTATATTTTTGAGAAATTAAATAATCAGTTTAAAGTAGATATAATTTTCATAAAATCTTTTTATTTAAATCCTTTTTTTATACTTTTAAGAATTTTTTTTTTCTAAAAATAAAACTGTAGATAGCATTTTTATCAAATATATTTTTAAATAATAACATGCAATTTTATGTATAACCATATTTATGTTGTCAGTACATAATAAAATCTGGGGGACCTTAAAAACAATAGGGAGAAGTACAAATGTACATCTTAAACTATTTTGCTTCTTTGATGTCTAGGTTATGTTAAAAAAAATAGCAATTATGATAAAGATAATGATAAGCTACAATGTTTTACAAAAAACGTTTAATTTCTCAAAAATATAAAAAGTGTTCTCCCGGAAAATACGCCTTGTTTCCATACGTTGGATTTCTATAAGGTTTGACGCCAATATTTTTTATTTCCCTGTCTTTTCTCAAAATAGAGAACAACATTTTATTACTGAGAAGTTTCAAGCGTCAGAGAAAATTTGTTTAAACTTTACAATCATCATTCAAGAAATAATATTCTACAACAAAATAATTTTTAAATAATTGATAAATGTTGTTGTGAAGCATTTTTTAAGGATTTGAGTATTCTGGAACTACCACTATAGTAGGTAATTTAGGTAATGGAATATGTTTAAGGATTTACATAAGATTTAGATTTACACCGGTTTTATAAATATTTCAAATTTAGAGTAGATTTATAGGTATTCCATGCTTAGGGCAGATTTATAGGTATTCCATGTTTAGGGCAGATCTATAGGTATTCCATGTTTAGGGCAGATTTATAAATATTTCATGGTCTAGAGCAGATTTATAGATGTTTCAGGTTTAGAGCAGAATTATAGATATTTCAGGTTTAGAGCAGATATATATACATTTCATGTATAGAGCAGATTTATAGATATTTTAGGTTTAGAGCAAATTTATGGCCGGATATTTCAGGTTCAGAGCAGATATATATTTAGATATTTCAGGTTTAGAGAAGATTTATAGATATTACAGGTTTAGAGCAAATTTATTGTTATTTCAGGTTTATAGATATTTTAGGTTTAGAGCAGATTTATGGATATTTCAGGTTCAGAGCAGAAAGTTTTTGAAAGTGGTATAGGAAGTCAAGCTCTAAACCTTGTTTCTTTGCAACCTTTATTAATAATTAAACCTAAATATTTACTATAATACAAAAAAATTAAGAATAATTAATGTTCAGGGTTGCAGCAGATCTGTGATTCCTACTCTCTTGAACACAGGGAATATTATTTTGATCGATCTCCAAGAAACTTCGACGCCATCCTTTGCCTCTACAGGAAACATTTAATTAGAAACTACTGAGTCTTAAGATTTGTCTCCGCTTTACCCAATTTTGATGAATTATATTTTCTTAAATTTGGGACTAACAAGAAATGCACAATGTCAACAAAGACGAGAAATTTTAAACCTAAAGGGATCTTGTTCAAAAACATGTTCTGTATTTATGTTACAAAAATGTAAAAGAGCAGAAAGGAATTGAGTCTTTGCCACAAACTCTGATTTATAAATCTCTATATCTTTGCAACCCAATGTAGTAAACAAACTATGAATCTGCTAGATCAATAACCTGAGTTTGAAATAGCAAAGCTTTTCGCCAGAGTTTGTGGCAAAAAATCAATTCATTTACCAATTTATTCTTTTCATGTCAGTCTCCCTAGGAGAAGGGCTAGAAGAGTCAAAGTTTAAGACTTAGGCCAGTTTTTAGGGGTCATCTTCTTTTTGAAAAATGTTAAATCATAACTTATGCAAAACTGACTAGGTCGTAAAAATGTTGTGAATGAGCAAATTTTTGCACAAATTTCCATTTTTTAAGGTTATATTTTGCAGAAGCAACCCCGCGTCAAACTTTTTGTTCACTTCTCCTAACTCCATGCACTTAATGAAACTATTGTGTAGTACTTCATCGTGAATTTTATAATAAACGTGCTATACAGTAATCATCGTGCTGTATTGTTAAATAAGCTGTATACATTATAGCACGTGTGCTATAAAGTTTTGATTGGTTCCCGGATTTTCTCCAAAAAAGTTAGGATATTTCCAAAATAATATTTTCCAATTAAAATAAAAATAAAATTGAAATCAACTTTATTTTTTTTTACTTCTGCTTTGTTTCATAGCTTATTTGATCTATAGAAATAGCCTTTGAAATAAAACAAGTACACACATGTTTAGAAACATTACCTACAACACTATTATTTTGGCAATAAAGTGCTTTAACATTCTTGGACTTTAATTGTCTCTATATCTCGATAACACTTTATAACACTGCGAACCAAATTAACAGTGTCATAAATAGTGTTAAAATAGATTTCCAAAAAAAATCTTTCATAGAAATTGATAAATACGTGAGAAAATATTTATTTTAAGATAGTTTAACTATTATTTTTTTGTAAGCTTAACAATTGTATTTTATACAAATGTTATAAATTTCAAATGTCGATGTTGTGAATATGTGCAGAGTACAGTGTACAGTGTACACAAATATTAAAATGATTAATTGAGACCTTGAACAAACAGTACTAAAGGCTGTGCCAGACATAATTATATTTTTATAAGCGGGTTTTGCAATTTTAACCATTATATACGTGAAGAAAAAAATTAACAATGTAAAAGAACTGAAATTTTCAAAACACACTATCTTTGCAACTTAATGGTGCTTAGCTTTGATATTTCAAACAAACTGAGAGAATTTGATCCAACAGATTCCAAAGTATGAAGTATCAAAGGTTTCCGACATTGGATTTCAAAAATATAAGGATTAAAAATCAAATTTTTTTGCAAAAACTTAATTTTCTTTGTCATATTTTTCAATTTCTAAAGGTACGGCTGAAACAGCTTACGCCACGGGTTTAAGCCATGCTTTTCTCGTTAAAAAATGGCTCAGTCAAACTTAGTCTTTTCTTTCGTTTCTAAATAACTGAGCAAATTAACAAGAATTTGTGGTCATCAATCTGATATTTTATTACCAATTTTCTCCTGATAAATTGAAAACCGACAATTTTTCAAACTTTTTTCGAGTATGTTTAAATGGCGTTATTTCATTCCCTTTACTACTACCTCCCAGCAATCAGGAGCAGAATTGTTTCTGTCAAAATGAGATTTTTGTAATATGGCAAATTTGCAGGAATATTGTTATTGTTGTTATTGTTATTTTATGCATTTACAATAACAAGGGAGAGTAAACATTGCACAGGAATCCCCTACTTTGCTAGCAAACTTTATCTCCGATTCTCTGGAAAATTAGAAACTTCAGGATTTAAAAAAAAAATCAAAACTTCAATGAGGATCGTATGAATTAATTTCTGATTTTTTGAAAGATTTCACCAATAAACGAAAAGAAAATAAATTTAACTTTATGAAAATGTTAAATAAAACTCTAGGTTTATTTCAACCTGAGCTGTTCAAATTTCTCCGTCTCCTTTTGAAATAAAGCACTGCAAAATAATTTGCATATTATAATTGCGTCCTCTGCGCGGCCTACCCCCTGAGCATATATTTGGTTTTTGTCTTGTGTTTTATAGAGGTTAGGGTAGAGATATATTGTTGTATACATGAAGGAACATAAACCAGCAGCAAAAACAAGGAATAATTTAGCAAGAAATTATTCACCAAACTTCAATACAAAGTTTGTAACTTTGCTATATACATTTTAAATACAAAACTTGAGAAAATTCACATTAAAGTCTAAATATTTCGTTTCACGTTTTTGTTCTGTTTTTAAAGCTTTCTTTCAATTACTAAAGAATACCTCGTAATTCACTGTTGCCGAAGCTCCTCCATTGTCTACTCCAGATATACCAAGCACTGTCCCTTTATTACCATATTCTTTGTCCAGTTGAATGTCAACTCCATCAACGATATAAGAAACTGTGTCTTTGTATTTCTCCCTCATCTTTCAAAGTTCTCTTCAATCAGAGCTCTGTGAAATGATAACCCAATTTATTTTCGCCGGTATGATAATTATTCTTATATCCCTGGTATTTTTTAATAGGTCAGAGACCGATTTTAATTAATTTGAGCTACGTCGCTGAACTATCATTAACTGCCGGTTCAAATTTGGACCAGCAATTTCAGGCTGAAGATTAAGGAAGAATTTGAGTCCGTGTTTCAAATTTGAACCAGCATTAGGAAGCTCAGCAACCACGCAAATTAATTAAATTTGGTTCCAGAATTAATGAATAACGATTAGATGTTGATCAAGGTACTGAATTTAAACTACTTCTCTCGTGCAGCTAAAAGTGGGCTAGATAATTATATAAACTAGCCATACATAGATAAACATTTTTTGATCAAATTAGTACATTTCTATTTCATTTTTTATTTTCAATTCAAGGCAAACTCTTAAAAAGAAAAATCCCAATTATTTTCATTTCAATGGAAAGGAATTGAGTCTTTGCAACAAACTCAAATTTTCCGATCCCTATATCTATCGAACTGGACGGTGTAGATCCCTATATCTATCGAACTGGAAGGTGTAGATCCCTATATCTATCAAACTGGACGGTGTAGATCCCTATATCTATCGAAATGGACGGTGTAGATCCCTATATCTATCGAACTGGACGGTGTAGATCTTAAAGATTTCAAACTTAGATTTTAACCTCTGGCAGAATTAATAGAAATATCAAAGGTCTACGTCATTAAATGGCAAAGATATTGAAGTTAAAAAATTAGAGTTTGTAGCAAAGACACAATTCCTTTTGAAAAATAACATAAGACAAAGGAAAATGTAATTAATGTTTGATTGCTTAGAACTGGTAAACTTCATCTATCCCAAGGAGTGTGCGTTCAGGTAAATATATCAAATCAACGCGATCGATCGATCGTTTAATCAATCATATAAAATCAAAATATTGTTATGGAATTAATTCCGTATCGGCTTTAATGAGCGAAGTGAACGTATTTAAATAATATTACTATTCAGACTAATAAAGAATTAATAATTTTAATGTAACATTTCTATCCATCTAGTCTGCACTCATGAATACCATGTGGAATATAGTGTGTAGAACTATTACATTGGATTAAAGAATTAATTACGTTAAATAACCTGAACCCCTCCCTCTGGGTTTCATGACATAGAAACAAGGAAGAACTAATTTGGATTCGACAAGTAGAAAGATTTATATGTATACAGGGGGTAAACAGGGGATATACAGGGGGTATACAGGGGTAAAGAGGGGGTATACAGGGGGTATACAGGAAAAGCATGTATAATCATATGGTAGGGCGAACCGCGTCAGTTGTATCTCCCTTGTATTCCTTGCTCCCTGGTGTCAATACAGACACTAGCAATAAATTGATCAATGCCTCAACCAGAACACGATCCACACGGCTACAATCCCGTGAACTATCAACGCCACTACCACTGGCGCGATCGCATTAGCTATCGGTATCAATACGGACACTAGCAGTTAATCGATCAAATCTTATACTATCTCAACTCGTATGTTTCAACGAAACCCAAATTACTCTTAATAATGTAATAAAGCAGAGTTTCCATATTAACTAATGTATTTGAGGTTTATATGTTACAATTTAAAGTTAATAGACATAATTACGTATTACGGTATTACAGCACAGTTAAAAGAGAGGTGCAATTAAAATGTGTGTCATTATATATTACACATGACTTTAGCTAAGCATGCTACATATTCATTTAAAACGCAGTTTACAGGTTTACAGAATATCGTGATTACTCAATATTTATTGCATTAGCTCCTCTAGTTTTAATTTTACGCCCAATTATGAAAAAAGTAGATATAGTTGAATATTAGAACTTGATGGTTTTTGTTTTTTCTGTAGATCTTAATGAGAGAATAATGAATGAAAACATGCCAAATTTCAATCTAACTTGAAATTTACGCATTTTGTTTTTTTCTATTTATGAAGGCAAACTTTTTATAATACAAACATCTCTAAATTACCTGAAGCAGAATCGACCCTATCTTTCTATCTTTNCAAATTAAATATTTATCTTATTACTACGTTCTTTCGATCGACAACAAATATTCAAATTTCTTCTTCTCTAATGTATTTTAGTTTCAAGGTTAAAGCTTTAAATGCAAGTACTTTAATAAATTATTAATAAATTTATTTTGGTTTATACTGACACCACGCTATCATTAATCACAATAAAAAGTAATTGATTCTTACCAAAACATCTCAATCATTATTCATAATAAAAAACATTATTGAATAAATTCATTGATCTCAAATACATAAAATTATAATTTAATTTTCAATCCAATAATAATAACGTTTGACAATTGGTTGACCAGCTGAATTTAATCCCAAAATAAAAAAATGTAAATGCAGTATCAAAGACAAGCAAGGAAATTACCAATTCTAGACATTAAGTGATTGTTTTAGATTTAGTTTTTAAGGATTTAAGGAATGATCGACAACATTTTTAAAGGAACCATGATTTCTTGCCACAAACTCTGATTTTTTATCCATATATCGTCAAACAATGAATTTTATTAGATCACATAGTCTAAGTTTAAATAGCAAAAGTTTACACAAGCAGGTTGCAAGGATTTAAGGATTATAATATTTTAGTTTATGGGCAGAACTCAGTTCCTTTAGGGTCGCAAAATGTACATTGACAATCCCTTTAAACCCTAACCCTGACACATGGATTTAAGGATTTCTGTGAAGAGCTGGAATACTGGGGATTAGATGATCTACACATGGAACCATGTTGTCAGCATACATACTATAGAGCTAGGTGGCTGCTACCAGAAACTGATGAAAAGGTAAATATCGTGTTTATATAAAGTCTAACTGTAAAAATGCCCAAAAATTCTCTATAAGTCCCTTTATCTTTTATAACAGAGTTTTAACTTTTGTTATTTCAAAATTAGACTATTTTATCAGTCAAAATTCATTGTTTAGAATACCAAGGTCTCCAATTTGAGGAATTGTGATGATGAAAAAAATTAGAGTTTTGTCAAGTTTTAATTTTATTACGATAATTCCAGAAGCATGATTGTCAAAACATAATTTAGGTATGACTGATAAACTAATTAGAGATTTTGCAAGATAATCAACCATGTTTTGTTTTTATCCTCTGGTCAAAAATGTTGAAATCACCATTTAATGTTTAAAAAGTTTATACGCATGCATATACAGAAATCCAACCCAAGATCTAAACTTGTGTGTGGATATCGTAAATCTTGAACGGTTGATCTCGATATCCAATGTGTTCACATTTACATTGAGGATTATTGTTTGATCCCTTAATAAAATTTTTCCCTGTAGGGTATACCCCCTACATTTAGGGAAGGAAATTAAGCCGGTTATCCCGAGATTCACAGCAAAAAAAATCTGACTTCTTATTGCATCTTTTTTATTACTTTTAAATTGATTTCTTTTTTGAGAATGCTATCTTTTTTCTGTTGGTTGTTGAATAATATATCGTATTTTAAATATCTACAGGAGGAAAAAGAGGAAGATTTTGGTTCAGGATTCTGTGCTCCAACTCAGAAACATCTCTGGAATTTGTTTGAGAATCCGCACCACTCATTTGCTGCCAAGGTACTTCATCTAATCTTTAGATAGATTAGTTATTCTCTTTACAGATAACAGTACTATACTCTGCACAGAGGGTTTCATGGTCAATGGTAACTCCTGAGAGAATGCATAAAGTTAAAAGTACATCTCTGCTTGTTTAACAATGCTGCACTAGACTACCAGTGAGATCAAAGCTGAGTTGTAACGTATGTTTGAACAATAAAACATCATTTTTTTCTAGGATTTGAAATCAAGTAAAAATTAGGAATAATTTTTTTTGTCTCATGAGTAAAATTGGCCAATCAGTGTAACTTTTACAATTTTAGGGAATGGTAATTAACTATAAAGGTTAAATCTTAAGACTGTAAATTTACTTGTAATTGACAAATAGGCAAATAACAACCAACCGACCTATTCTTTTATTTACAAATGTCCAGCTATAAGTAATTTATAAAATTCATATAAGTTTTAAAGCTTTGTATAGAAATCTAGAGCAATGAAACTGATAACAAGCCTTATAACAAGCTCCACGTATTCTTAATCTGATGGTTCAATTATCACTTGCAGAAAAATTTAGAAATCGTCAAAATAATTGAAAACCAAAGGAATTGAGTTTTTGCCACAAACTCAAATTTTCTAATCCCTTTATCTTTGCAAACTGATGGTGTGCATATTTAAATTATATATTTAAAACCTAGACTATTAGATCTTACAGAATATATAGTTTGACATATCAAAGGTATAATTTATTGGGTTGCAAAAATAAATGAATTAGAGAATGAGAATTTGTGGCAAAAACTCAATTCCTTTCCAAGGTTGAACAGAAATAACTTTTCCGTTTTCTACCATTTCTGCTTGACATAATAATTGGAAAATAAGTATTCATACAATTAACTAATAAACGTATATACAATTGTTTTTCGGTGTTTTTTATTGTAATAATATACATTTTCTTTTTTTGTAACAATGTACATTTTTATTATTTTTGTAATAATATACATTTTTACCTTTATTTGTAATAATATACATTTTCATTTTATTTGACGGGTTTGGCCAATTTTTACTTTTATCCTTGGTTCTTTTTACCAATATATCCTGAAAATAGATTGGCATATAAAACCTGTGGTCAAGATAGTAAAGATTAATAGGGGGGAGGTTACCAACCAGACAAGGAACTAAGGGAGAAACGAAACAAGGAAAAATGCTGCAAAAGATAAAAATACTACCCTGATAACCTTATAACAATGGAAAAGGAAGACGACATTATAGCAATACTTAAGTGTATTTGATGGTGTTACAAAAGCAAATGGTTTTACCAGACACTTATAAAATCACTTATTTTCTGAAATGTGTCTTTTTACACTGCACAATTGCTGTATTTCATCGTCATTGACCTTTTTAAAGTTAATACTTGATTCTAAAAGTCGTCTTCCTATTCCAGAGTTTTCTGGTTATCACTGTATGTACACTGTATTGTGTTATGTGAACATTTAAATGTCAACTAATGATTCCTATAATTTAAAAAATGGCTTATGCAATAAACTCTGTAACTTTTTCCATTGAACTATACTATGTGAGTAATTCAGGAAAATTTTAGGTCCACAGTTTTCTTAAGCTCCAAGCTTTGAGATATCAAGTCTTAGAATTTGGAACTAAAAAGACCTGTGAAAAACAAATCCCCAATTAAAATTTTTCAATTTTTTAGAAGTTTTTCACAATCCTCGGATATATTTTTTTCTGGACTTAAATTCTTGTGAATATGATCCAAACATAGGACTTTGTTTTCAGTGACATGCTTGCTGTGTTTTTATATAATGAAACAAGACTTTTGTTACATGTTTCATAGACCCGGGCAAACGGCTGGACCGAATGAGTCGAAATTTTTTGTGGACACTCATGGGTAGCCTGGGGGTGACAAAGGCTAAAAAATCGAATTAAAAAATCCACGGGCAACGTCGAGCCCTAGTTATACATAAATGCTTTAAATCTATGTTCTTTTTACAAAGCAAATGTTTTTTTTACGTGCCAAAACTTATTCAACAAATATACTTGTTTGCTACAGACAGGATCCAATAATATATTTAAAATTTAAATGAATCAAATTTTTCCTAATACTGTAAACTTAAACTCTTTCCTGTTGCCGGAAAAAAACTTTTTTGTTTGCAGATTCCTGATTCATGTTACCGATAAATCTTCAGATTATAAAGTTGTATTGAACAAGAAACACTATACAGTATACAGTGTACAGCATGCAGCATGCCTGCCAAACAAGAATGCAGGATTAAAGAATCTAAAGTTAAACCAGACAAAATCCATCTATGTTTGGTTTCAGGCTGGAATCCCAAGTATTACAGCTGGTTGTAAGATGCAAAATCCATCTATGTTTGGTTTTAGGTTGGTTGTGTCCAATCCCAAGTATTACAGCTGGTTGTAAACATGCAAAATCATTTAGAAAGGATATGAGTTTTTACAACAAACTGAAATTGTCTAATCCTCATATTTTTGTAACCTGATGTTGTAAGCCTTTGATATTTCGAACTGGCACTATTAACCTTATTGAATTAGTAGTTTGAAATAACAACGGGTTTCAAAGATATAGAAATTAAAATATTTGAGTTTGTGTCAAAAACTCATTTCCTTTAACAGAAGTTTTTTATTGATGTAATAAGTTTAAGAACCTATATTCCAGACCCAAAGCAAAAAAAATCTAACTTTCTATCAATGTATTTATCTATCTATTTGTCTATCTATCTAGTGTGTAGCAGTAGTATCCTGCCTATTTGTTGTTGTATCTACCCTCTGCCTGATTATCTCAACCCTCCCTTCATTTCAACAGAAAGATCTCAGCGGCATTGCACGTAAGTAATGTTCATGCGCACTGTACAGTGTATGCCGTACACTTTATATTTGGGTTGGTAAAAAATTCAAATAAAAAAGCAAGGTCGACTGTTTTTTCACTAGCATTAGAACTATTAGTTTTAACATTATAATGTATAAGGCAGACATGTACACATAAATTAGGACTCCAGTCTGGGTCGATTTTAAGTTGTCGCAACGTCTTGGCTCATACTTCTTGGCACCTTAGAACAATATACATTTTGAATTATAAACTACTTTCTTTTTTTTGCTTGTTTTTAGAAAGAAATTGGCAAACAATTCTCTTTTTGCGTGTATGGACTTTTTTTGGAACATTCATGCGAGTTAAATTTCCAACAATTATTAAAACTTTTCTTTTTGATTTTCTGCCGACATCATAATCAATCAATTCCGCATTTTTCCTGTTTATGGCACGACAATATTGAGTAGGTGGGAGGGTTTACGTAGATGTGGGCTGAGAATTGAAAAACATGTTTTTATCGAATATACTAACTTGTCACCGTTGTATTTTTAGATAAGTATACAGGGTGTCCCAAAAAACATGGGAATTCAGTGACGAATTCGATATCGTCTTTATAAATAATTCTTTGGTTTAGTATAGTGATACCTACTGAGAAAGCTGTAATCTGTAAGAGTTTCGTCTGCTGTGTTCACATCTTGTTTGTTTATGTTTTAACTGCATACTTATTGAAACAAGAAAATTACAGTATAAAAACAGAGTAAACTTGTCCGTCTTCACTGTTCATCTTGCGGAGACATTAAAGACACATCTTCACAGTCTTTTACCCTTTTCATAAAATAAACTCTAGCACACATGATAATATTATGGGTTTTTAAATTAGGTATTACAATGCTAATTCATAACAAAGACGATATCGAATTCGTCACTGAATTCCCATGTTTTTTGGGACACCCTGTATAAAACATGTAAATAATGCAAATACACTAAACATAAAAAGGGGGAAAAGTATATTATGATACAGAAAAAAGGTGAGACTATTCTGTGATCAGTGGAATTCTATTATTTATAATTTCCTTGAAATTTGAACTGAAATATTTTAGTTTTGTGAGTATGTTGTTTCCAAACTAACTGATATGACTAGGAGGAGTAGGATGGGAAGTAAATAGAGAAAGGAAATGATGTGATGAGAAGGAGGATACATTTGTCGTCAAGATAAACTATTCCTTGTCCTTTCACAGACACACATTTACATACACCCCCACTCGTGTTTCATACATACAGTTAAATACAGGGTTATTTATGTTCCATACGTTCAGTTACATACACGCTATTTATGTTTCATACATTCAGTTACATAACCCCCTTTATGTTACATACATATAGTTCCATACAAGCTATTCCTGTTCCATAAATACAGTTCTATACACGGGTATTCATGATTAATACGTACAGTTCCAGACACTATAGTTTCAATAGCAGTATAGCGCCGATGTAAGGATTTATCTCTAACACATGGCTGAACCCTGATTGGGTTAGGCGCTAATGGACTTGGCATACTATGGTGTAGAGAGGAGCGTTCATGTTCCATAAATATATAGTTCCATACAAGGGGTATTGATCAATGATCATGTCTCATAATACAGTTAAATACAGGGGTAATCATGTCTCATAATACATGTACATACAGGGGTAATCATGTCTCATAATACATGTACATACAGGGGTAATCATGTCTCATAATACAGTTACATACAGGGGTAATCATGTTTCATAATACAGTTACATACAGGGGTAATCATGTCTGATAATACAGTTACATACAGGGGTAATCATGTCTCATAATACAGTTACATACAGGGGTAATCATGTCTCATAATACAGTTACATACAGGGGTAATCATGTCTCATAATACAGTTAAATACAGGGGTAATCATGTCTCGATCATAATACAGTTACATACAGGGTTATTTATGTTCTTAAAATACAGTTCTATACATTAAATATTGCGTTAATTTTACAGTAAAGCATTCATTTATAATCCTAAAATGAAAGTATACAATATAAAGTATGTAAATAAACACTTATTGCTAAATTGTTAAATCTTTAAAATCTAAATTAGTTTTTTTCTTATGGTTCAGTAACCGAGACTAACGTAAGGTTAGTTACTCTTAGTTGTATTGGTATAACATCATGGTAACATTGTAATCATGTTTTTATCTACCCTGTTTATGGAAATGTTAATGGAAATACCGACAATTTTTAGCTTCTCAATTCCTGATAAACAACCACAATTGTTTCGTCCCATCATTTATTAATGGTATCCCCCATCCATCCACTTTTCAAAGATATCTATGACCGGAGAAAAGGCCGATTTATCGTTTAGAATTCCAGCGGAAAGGTATAATACCTTCGCACAGACACCATTTAAAAGTTTTTTTTTCAGAAACAGCAGCCCAATAAAATCTAAAATTATCATATTTCAATGACATAATGTGTCAGCCATTCTATAATAATATATAAGATTTTTTGATTTTAGAATAAGCAAGAAATTCACGTTTTACGTGTTCAAACATGATTTAACAAATTTAACACGTTTATACAAAGACGACTTTCTCTCTCAGACAAACCAGTTCCTAGATTCCAACTCTTCAATAAATCACGGGGATTTCTGGGGAAGTTGAGAAAACGTAGCAAACCGCTAAATGTTAAAAATAAGTTATATTTTAAAAATAGACAATTTAGAAATAAGTTTGAATAAAATTTTACAAAAAGCATCAAATTGTATAAATGCAAAGGTATACCTTTGCGCATGAATTCTGAATGATAAATCGGCTTTTTCTCATGCCACAGTTGTCTTTAAAAAGTAAGGCTAATACCAATAAATAGCTAATAGGCTATTCAGTTTACCCTCAAATTACCCAAATATGTGAAAGGTCCCTTTAACCCTCAAAAGTCTTATTTTTGACACTATCACCGTGAAATTTTGTGACTTTTAATGAATAGTAATGTAAAGGATTTTTTGTAAAAAAAATATTTTTTAAAGGAATTGACTTTTTGTCACAAACTCTGATTTTCTAATCCCTATATCTTTGGATTTCAACGTTGTAACCTTTGAAATTTCAAACTATGACTTTTGTTAGATCAAAAAATATAAGTTTGAAATATCAAAGATTTACGACATTGGGTTCCAAAGATATTGGGATTAGAAAATCAGAGTTTGTGGCAAAGAGTCAATTCCTTTGTAGGCTAGGGTACAGGGCGAAAAAGGCTGGTCTGGAAAAAAATCTAAAATAGCCCATGTTTTTTTTTTACCTGAAGCTGCAGATCTAAATACCATATTTGTTTAAAAGGCCCTGAAAAATATATGTAGAAACATGTGTCGCACTTTGATATTTGTTTAAAACAAAACAAAACAACATTTTTTTCTTCATTTTTTTAACCTTATTAAGGCATATTTTTCCACCCTCCTTAGCATCCAAAATATAAAAAAGTTATCGGTCTAATTTTTTTCTTTGAACTGGCCCTGAAAAATATATGTAGAAACATGTGTCGCACTTTGATATTTGTTTAAAACAAAACAAAACAAAATTTTTCTTCATTTTTTTAACCTTATTAAGGCATATTTTTCCACCCTCCTTAGCATCCAAAATATAAAAAAGTTATCGGTCTAATTTTTTCTTTGAACTGGCCATGAAAAATTGGGCTATGCACATGCATTAAAACCCTAAACCTATTCTATAAGGTCTTTTTCTAGGGGGCGAGGAGTTTGGCATTTGGCGTTTGGCCCCCCCCCCCAAGCTATGCATAGATTCAGACCCCCCAGCCTTTATAGGGTTAAGTAACAAATTGTCCGCGAGGACTTAATTGTAATCTAGCAAGCTTTTGTTTTCCCTAAATTAGTTTCCAAATGATTTACAACCTAGAGAGGTGGAGTTTATATTATCTATATTCGATACAGTTACTTAGTTCCCAATCTTTTCCAGGCTACTGTTTGCTTAACAACATAGGGAATATATAAAGGAAACCATTTCGGTGTTTATTTATATTTATCACTTGTTGGTTTGTTTGGATTCGATTTATTTCAAAACGTCCTATCCTTGGACCAAAATAGCCCAAGAATGGTTTTTGGTTTTAATCAAGAAAATACCGACATGTTATTGTTCAAATGTAAATACAAAGATAAATAATAAAACATATTTTTATCATTAAAAATAGGAATATTTATGTACAAAGGATTTGAGTTTTGGCCAAAAATCTCAAACTTTAATCCCAATATGTTCAACCTGATGGTGTAAACCTTTAATTTTTCAAGCTTAAATTATTAGATTGGCATAATTATTAGTTTGAAATATCTAAGGTCTAGAACCTTGGGTTCTCAAGACATAAGGATGAGAAAGCCAGCGTTTGTGGCAAGACGTAATTCCTTCGCCTAGTTGTTTATAAAGTACGATGTTTACAAATCTGTTAATTTTTTTATTTCAATTTTCGTCTGTGTAAAAGTGAACTTTATTTCTTGCAACTTATTCATATCAAACACTTTCGAGTTCTGTTTGAGGTTGATATTATTGATAAAAAAGGCTATAAATCTACCTTGTCTATCATGACTATATAATAAATAAGATAAATGACTTTCACAATAAAAAAAATGCATTTTGCAAAACATTCAGAATCAACTGCATACTAATATGCTGATTTATACATCTTATTTGTTAATAACCTGCATTGGGTGCAGGGGTGGTTTGTGGTTTATCAGCATCCAATACTGTTTTCTTATATTGGGTGCATGGGTGGTTTGTGGTTTATCAGCATCCAATACTGTTTTCTTATATTGGGTGCAGGGGTGGTTTGTGGTTTATCAGCATCCAATACTGTTTTCTTATATTGGGTGCAGGGGTGGTTTGTGGTTTATCAGCATCCGATACTGTTTTCCTATATTGGGTGCAGGGGTGGTTTGTGGTTTATCAGCATCCAATACTGTTTTCTTATATTGGGTGCAGAGGTGGTTTGTGATTAGTCAGCATACAATACTGTTTTCTTAATCAGTTTGAAAAACATCATTAACAAAATCTTAAATGTTTCCAGAGAAGAATATGGGCGCGAAGCGTCCTGTATTTTTTCTATAATATATAGTTCTAAAACGCAATCATTTCTATAACTTTGCAACCTAACGGTGTAAACTTTGATATTTCAATCTGAGATTATTTGATTTAATAGAAATCTACGACATTGGGCTGAGTTAGAAAATCAGAGTTTGTGGCAAACTCAATTCCTTTGTTTACAGTTCTGGACAAGAAACTGCTGTACACTTTTATGCAATTGTTGTATATATCCTTCTTAGGATTTTGAACGCTGTTTTTACTGATAAAATATCAATTTGGACAAAGAGAGGTTTTTGCAGACATGTATGGTTTGCCTTGTGCATTAAGTACTTCTTATTATGGTGTTTGACATTGGCCACACTGGTGTTTTACATGACGTGTTTTTTTCTTTTTAAGGTAATGACACACTACTTCTCTTAAAATGCATTTGTCTTTTGTTTTGTGGTGAGAATGGACAAAAAGATTTCAAAATTTGACTTAAGTATAAGGTTTGTAGTGTGAACCCAATATGACTGACCCCACCCCCCTCTGATACCCCGTTGTGTGCTATGCAGTACACTAGAAGTTTATCTTGATAAAGAATAATTTCTAAAGAAGAAAAATATATTTTTTTCCTCTCGTTTTATTTTGAGCTTGTGGTTTGCAATGTTGATTTCTTGAATACCAGAGCTTGATGGGTCGTAAACATCTGAATATAAGATGGCAAGATATGCTGGAGGGGGTGGGGTGAAGGGAGTGAGGGGAATAGTAGGAACCGAAAAATTACTACTTTTCCAGGGTTTAGCTGGGTTTATAAACCATCGAGGAATAATAATTACTATGGATGAATTAATGAAATATTTGATGATAATCGAGAGCTTTAGTTTTTAGTACTTTCTGGTTCACTAAATCTTTAGAGAGGAAAAGACTATAAAAACGTACAGTATAAACAAGAGACTGAAGAAGGAAAAATTGAGTTGTCTCCATGTAAGATTTCCCTCCATTATTCCGATATTCAAAGGTCGTCAAAATATTTGTGACAAATTGTTTCTCCGCTGTCCCAAGAACATCAATTTTTTCCTCGTAAAATTTTTCGTGACATTTTATCACTTTTCCTAAGCTCCACACGCCTTACCACAATATGTGTAAACACAAAAAATGTTTGCTTTTGTCTCAATCCTTTAATACTGGTATTAAAGATACTAGTAAGAGTTTTTCCTACAGAAACTAAATCGTTATTAAAAACTAAGATTTGCTAAACCCTATATTTTTGATATTTCAAACTATAAATCATGTTAAATCAAATAGTCTAAATTTGACTTATTAAACACTATCAGATTGCAAACATGTGGCACTGAGAAAACCGACATTTTTTTTATTTGATTTTTGAAACACCCAGGATGTAATTCGGTTCAGTAGATTTTCATGATAAATTGTCTCTCATGAATATTTTTCAAGATACAGATATAAGGAAGAATATATATTCTATGTCTAAAAAATCAATTGATATATTTATAAGTGAATCGTATTTTTTTGTCAAAATTGGATTATTTGCTTATCTTACTCTTTTGTTGCAAGCCTTACGTACATTTGAAATGATAACAATAACAAATTATCTTGTTTTCAAAAATTTCAAAATTAATTCTAATTTCGTTGTTGTAAACAAACATAAAAACCAAATATATGGAGAAAAAAATGATCAGCAAAGTAATGTACGTAAATGAACACAAACTTACTTCTACCAAATTCAAACTAAAACTTGTAAAATGTTTCTACTGAACTCAAAATGTGTCTTTGTATGTTTATTATTATATATATTTGGAGTCTAGAGTTGAGATGCTTTCATCGTTTATTGAAGAAAAATGATATATTATCATGTATAAATATATATATTTAATATATATATATATATTTACTAGTATAAAGTAAATATAAGAAAAGAAAACTTGGCACAACCCGGAACCATATTTTCACTTTATTTTTTTTTATTAAATTCAACCCCTTATATAATTTAGATTTACCTTTCAGAACAGAACATTCACCACGATTAGGGTTTCCAGAGAACAAAAACTTCTTGTTCGTATTTTGCAGACTTTTTCACGAAATTTCGTATTTTTTCGCGAAAATAAATTAAGCGAAAAAATGCAAAAATGATGCGAAATTTTGCTAAAATTGTTTTCGTGAAATTTAGCGAAAAATAATTCCGCGAAAACCATAAGTTGTGGCTGATAAATCAGGGCCCCAAAAGCCCCTAATTTTTTGTCAGCGAGTCTTCACTTTTGAAACCATTTATTAATTTAGTGTAAATATTTGGAATTTTAATGAGTTTAACATTTTAGATATAATATGATATAATATTATATAATATTATTTAATGTCTATTGTTACACTTCCTTTCATGGTTTTTGATGAATATGGTGTTTATGACGAGTTTCTGAGTTTCTGTTCGATACAACCATGAACATACTTACATACTTACATACATATTTTCAATTCAGCCAGGACATACTAAGATCATTTAGTTTCAAGTTTCAGTACAACATTTAATAACGTACAAGGGCATATTCAGGGGGGCAAGGGGGGCAGTGCCTCTAGACCTGTAAAGGGGGCGCAGCCGCCCTAGAATTTTAAAAATAGAATTTTGAAGAAAAAAAGATTACTCCTACTTTTTTGCAGAGTTTTTCATTTTCAAAAATGGTTTTTACTATCTGTAATAAAAATACTAAAATAGCATATAATAAAATGCAGATTTTTAAGAAACATTTTTTTCTGCTTTTTTTGTTGGCATGAGAGATAAAAAGTACTTTCAAAGTATTTAACTGTATGTGTACTTTTAAAGTTTCTTATACTTTAAAACCTTATATCCAAAAAGCCAAATATTTTGAATACCCCCCCCCCCTATATATATACGCCCTTGAATTAATGTAGAAATGTTTGAAAAAGCAAAGCTTGAATTAATGATGAACCATGATCTACAGATGTTCACTTTTATCATTTCTTTCAAACTTAGGAACAACTTCGCTAACTCTTTTATATTTATTTATCTAGGAAAAGAAAATTTCTAAAAAGCCAGATTTTGCTTTTTTATAAAATATTTTTTCAGTTTTCTAACTTTTCATTTCTTTGTTTCAGAGGAAGAATACTTTTTCGAGGTTGCCGAGGCTGTATTTGTTGGTTGGTTCACCTTTGAATATGTGATTCGTTTTATTGCAGCACCACATAAAATAAAGTAAGCATTTTCAAAAAAAGAGAGAGATAAATTCAGGTAATTTCCTATTATACGATTTTTGGAACCCCCCCCCCCCCCGCTCGACCCCCGAGTTAGTCCTAGCCGCAGCCCAAAAAATGTCTTAACCTAACCTAACCTTAAAATAATACAAAAAGATAATAACAATTTTGCTGAAAATTAGTTTGTCATGCACAAAGTTGATAGTAAGGTGAAGGGGGGGGGGGAGGGAGGTGTCCAAAAATCGTTCTCTAGGACAGACCATAAATTCATTTTTAAGACTTTAGAAGCATGGGGGGGAAAGAAATCATAGTTTGCTAGTTTTTTTACCTCTTTCTGATAATTTTCGGCCCCACATAATTATTAATTACAAATTCATTTATTTTCCTCAGCACCAAAAATAACCTGTCAACCGGCAAACAAAAGTAAAAAATTAATTGTTAATAAATATTTTCCTCTAAATTTGAAAAGATACTCGGCTGTTATTTCGTGGACCATATTTTTTCAAAAAAAAAAAAAATTTCTTTTTTAAAAAAAAGGGTTTTCATGTACATGTAAGATAAGCCAGCATTGGTAATTAATAAAAGCTTATTCTAATTTTAACACATTTTTAGGTTTTTGAAAGCAGTAATGAATATTATAGACCTGCTGGGTATCCTTCCATACTTTATGTCCCTCTCTATCTCACTCATTACAACCTCAGGAGGGGTAAGTTAAGTACTAAGTACAGTACATAGAAATAACAAATATATTATGTACAATATGTTGTTATTGTACACACAAATTACTGACGTCCGACTTAAAAGTCTAATCATACCATTTTTTTCATTTGTCAATTTTAATGTAATGGGAACAAGTTTCAGAAAAAAAACTATAATTTAACCTTTTTAATTAGAAACATAAAAAAGGTATTTTTTTCGGAGCCAAAAAAACTAAAGATTTTGCAATGTTTTTTAATTGTTTTCTAAAAATCAAAATAAGAATGGTAATTTTTTGGTTTGAAGTAAGTTTATATTATCAAATTCTTAAATTGGTTTTGAATTATTTAGTTGAACACGGACCAGGCCAAGTATCAGGATGAAATGAGAAGAATTGCTCAAATCTTCAGAATCATGAGGATACTAAGGTATAGTTGTACAGACACCCTCTTCTATGTAGACACGGACACTTCTACACACAGAGACACGGACATTTCTACAAACTGACACTTGTTCACATGGCTACTTCTACACGCGGATTATTCATCACACGGACACTTACACATGGATAATGCTACATAAGATAATTTATCACACGGACATTTCTACTCACGGACACTTTTACGCATGGATACTTCTACACACAGATACTTTTACACATGGATACTTCTACAAACGGACACTTCATATATGTTGCGACACTTATTTACACTGACAATTATACATGCAGACACTTCTACACACGGACGAACTTCCACATTTACCGGTATAAACTGGAGAAGCTGAAAGGGTGGGAACCATCTTGTCGGTTAAAAGAAATCCCTGCATGTAAAAATACAGATAAAAGTAAATGTGACAAAAACTTTTGAAAAGAATATTATTCCAAGTTTTCCACACCGTCAGTTGTTTTACAACTTGTAAGAAAACAGATAAGACAAACTTAGAGCTAGAGCTAGTCGGGGAAACATGGCAAGCTTCTCAGTTTTAAATGAGCAACTAAAGATTATTTTTGTTGTTTAACTCGGCAGGGGCAGTATATAGTCGTACACATTGAGTACAGTTGGATTCAAATCACTGCACTCACATTTCAATTCCTGCAGTTTTTGTGCGTTTTTTACTTCTCTATTTGTAACTTGTTATACTTTTTTTCCTTTACATAAAAAAACGGGTTGAAAGTGAAACTGTGTCACATTTTAAACCGATGACGTCAGGCATAATTTCTTCAAGATCTCAAGGCCCCATCTTGATAATAAATTTAATGCTGCCAGATTATTTTGTTTAAAATAATACAATTTTTTCAGGATTTTCAAGTTAGCTCGTCATATTACCGGTTTACAAACACTAGGGATGACCCTGAGGAACAGGTAGAGAAATATTGACTAATAATTGTACAAATTAGCAGAATTGGGGGGGGGGACTTAGTGTAATATTGGACTTAATACAAGTTTTAATTGTAAAATCTACTCAGTAGGCTTTCTAGAACTGAAAACAAAAATAGTAGATCTACTAAAATAGTAGAAAGAGTAGATTTGATTTTAGTGACACGAATAGTAAACCTACTGAAAGTGCAAGAAAACATAGTTCTACTAAAATAACAAGAAAAGAAACATTAGTTCTACTTAAAGGACAAAAAACAGTAGATCTACTGGAAGTACAAGGCACGGTAGATTCACTGGTAGTAAAAGAAACAATAGATCTACTGGAGTAAAAGAAATTTGTAGATTCACTAGTAGTACAAGAAACAGTAGCTCTACCAGAAATAAAAAGCAGCAGGTTTACTGGAAGTACAAAAACAGTAGATCTACCGAAAGTACTAGGAACTGTCGATCTACTGAAAGTACTAGGTACATTAAATCTACTGGAAGAACTTGGAACAACAGATCTACTGGAAGTACTAGGAACAGTAGGTCAACTGCATAAGTAAAAGAAACAGCAGTTCTACATACTAAAAGGACAAAGACAGTAGATCTACTGTAAGTACAGGAACAGTAGATCTTTATGAACTACTAACAGCAGTAGATCTACTGGAAGTGCAAGAAACAATAGTCCTACTAAAAGAACAAGAAACAGTAGATCTACTGTAAATGCTAGTATTAGTAGATGTACTGGAAGTACATGAAAAAATAGATCTACTGGAAGTACTAAGAACAGTAGAACTGGAAGTACTAGGAACAGCAGATCTACTGAAGTACTAAGAACAGTAGATTTACTGGAAGTTATAGGAATAGTAGATCCACTGGAAGTACTAGGAACAATATATCTACTGAAAGAACTATAGGAACAGTATATCTACTGGAAGTACTAGAAACAGTAGATGTACTGAAAGCACTAGGAACAATATATCTACTGGAAGAACTAGGAACAGTTTTATCTACTGAAAGAAATATAGGAACAGTATATCTTGTGGAAGTACTAGAAACAGTAAATCTACTGAAAGCACTAGGAACAATATATCTACTGGAAGAACTAGGAACAGTAGATCTACTGGAAGTACTAGGAACAGTAGATCTACTGGAAGTATTAGGAACAGTAGATCTACTGGAATTTCTAGAAACATTAGATCTACTAGATGTACTAGGAACATTAGATCTACTGGAAGAGCTAGGAACAGTAGATCTGCTAGAAGTACTAGGAACAGTAGATCTACTGAAAGTACTAGGAACAGTAGAACTACTGGAATTTCTAGAAACATTAGATCTACTAGAAGTACTAGGAACAGTAGATCTACTGGAAGGGCTAGGAACAGTAGATCTACTAGAAGTACTAGGAACAGTAGAACTACTGGAAGAACTAGGAACAGTAGATCTACTAGAAGTTGTAAGAAACCGGAAGAAAAAGATGGGTAAAATCATCCCAGGCCAAGTAGCTAGAAAGGAAAAAATTGATTATCGGAAATTGTGTCAAATATTTGGCGTCATATAAATAATTCATCTTTCATATTCTTCAAAGAAATGGTAGGGGCCGGTAGATAGAAGGAAAAGGGGGCTGCAAGTTTGGATAATGCGGGGGCTGCAAGTATGAATAAAATGGGGGCTGCAAGTTTGGATAATCCGGGGGCTACAAGTTTGAATAAAATGGGGGCTGCAAGTTTTTGATAAAATGGGGGCTGCAAGTATGAATAAAATGGGGGCTGCAAGTATGAAATGGGGGCTGCAAGTTTGGATCAAATGGGAGCTGCAAGTTTGGATCAAATGGGAGCTGCAAGTTTGGATCAAATGGGGGCTGCAAGCATGGATAAAATTGGGGGGGGGGGGGTGTATAAGCTTGAATTTATATTGTATCAAGCAGAAAGAAAAGAACACTTAAAAAGTAAATTTCCAATAAAGAAAACTCGAGAAGTCGATAAGAAAGTCAACAATAAAAATGTATTTTTTAATTTATGTGTATTATTATTTTAATTTAATAATATTTGATTTATGTGTATTATTCAAATCGTTTGTTTTGTAAACTTTTTCTATTCAATTGAAAAATTGTATTATTTTTCAGTTATAAGGAGCTGGGGTTGCTCATGTTGGTTGTAATCATGGGTATGCTCATATTCAGCGGTTTAGCTTATGTGGCAGAGAAGGATGAAGTAGATACAAACTTCATCTCTATGCCGCAGGTACCTTATCTACCTTGTCCACCTTGTCTACCTTGTCTACCTTGTCTACCTTGTCTACCTTGTCTACCTTTTCTACCGTGTCTACCCTTGCCTACTTTGTCTACCTTATACCTACATTTTCTACCTTGTCTAGCTTGTTAACCTTGTATACCTTGTCTACCTTGTCTACCTTGTCTACCTTGACTTCCTTGTCTACCTTGTCTACCTTGTCTACCGTGTCTTCCTTGTGTGCCTTGTCTACCTTATCTACCTTGCCTACCTTGTCTACCTTGTATACCTTGTCTACCTTGTCTACATTGTCTACCTTTTCTACCTTGTCTACCTTGTCTACCGTGTCTACCTTGTCTACCTTGTCTACCTTGCATACCTTGGTTACCTTGTCTACCTTATATACCTTGTCTACCTTGTCTACCTTGTCTACCTTGTCTACCTTGTCTACCTAGTACCTAAACAATAGAAACACAGTATCACATTAATCCACTGTTAAAGTGTGTATTGTTTAGGCCTTGTATTGGGCAATTATCACGATGACGTCCGTAGGATACGGGGATATATCTCCTACCACATGGTTTGGCAAGCTAGTAGGATCAGGTCAGTAGGATACGGGGATATATCTCCTACCACATGGTTTGGCAAGCTAGTAGAATCAGGTCAGTAGGATACGGGGATATATCTCCTACCACATGGTTTGGCAAGCTAGTAGGATCAGTAGGATACGGGGATATATCTCCTACCACATGGTTTGGCAAGCTAGTAGGATCAGGTCAGTAGGATACGGGGATATATCTCCTACCACATGGCTTGGCAAGCTAGTAGTATCAGGTCAGTAGGATATTGAAATATCTCTTCTACCACATTGTTTGGTAAGTTAGTTGGATCAGGTCAGTAGGATATTGAAATATCTCTCCTACCACATTGTTTGGCAAGGATATATCTCTTACATCATGGCTTGGTGAGCTGGTTGGAATAGCTTAGTAGGGTCCAGGAACATATCTCCAAACACATGGTTTGGCCAGCTAGTTGAACCACGTCAGTAGGATAAATGGATATATCTCCTACAACATGGTTTGGTAAGCTGGTCGGAAAATCTGAGTAGGATACAGGAATGTATCTCCTAATGCATGGTTTGGTAAGCTGTTTGGAATTTCTGAGTAGGATACAGGAATATATCTCCTTATACATGGTTTGGTAAGCTGGTTGGAATATCTGAGTAGGATTCAGTAATATATCTCCTTATACATGGTTTCGTAAGCTGGTTGGAATAGCTTAGTAGGATCCAGAAATATATCTCCTAATACATGGTTTGGCAAGCTAGTAGGATCACGACAGTAGGATACGGGCATATATCTCCTACCACATGGTTTGGTAAGCTGGTTGGAATATCTGAGTAGGATACAGGAATATATCTCCTACCACATGGTTTGGTAAGCTGGTTGGAATATCTGAGTAGGATACAGTAATATATCTCCTTATACATGGTTTCGTAAGCTGGTTGGAATAGCTTAGTAGGATACAGGAATATATCTCCTAATACATGGTTTGGTAAGCTGGTTGGAATAGCTTAGTAGGATCCAGGAATATATCTCCTAATACATGGTTTGGTAAGCTCGTTGGAATATCTGAGTAGGATACAGGAATATATCTCCTTATACATGGTTTGGTAAGTGGTTGGAATATCTGAGTCAAATACTTTTGAATGTACGTAACAGCTAATCTTGTTCCTGAAGAGATAGGTCTCCTATCTCCACTTCCAAAGGTTAATATTTGAATAAAATTGCGGCGAGCTAAAAATCGTAACGATTTTTTTTAATTCAACGGTTTAAATATTTAAAACTTTGAAAAAAGTTTATGTATCAATCTATTTAATTTTGACAAAAAAAACTCCCTATAATCAAGTTAACTTTTTTAGGTTATTTCTTAATTGATTCTTTTTTATTTGCTAGCATGTGCAATCTGTGGTGTGCTGTGTATCTCCCTTCCCATCCCCATCATCGTGAACAACTTCAACAAGTTCTACGAGAAGGCCAAGATTGAGGAGGAGATCCTTCTCAAGAAGAAGAAAGCGTCCTGGGAGGATGCAAAGCGAGGTCAGAACATTTTATTTATTATTTTTTGTGTATGATAATTTGTATAATAATTATATGTCTCTCTTATTACCTTTGCCTTTAATGGTGTTAATTATTTCAATGTTAAAATTTGTTTTTAAAAAGTTAAATGTTTTGTATGGAGTTAAATTGTGTATACTAATGCCGAAAATTAATTTGTTTTAAAAACTATTTTATGTTCAATTTAAATCTAACCTTTTATTACTTTATATCAGATTACTCGTATGTTGACTCTAAAACATTTTCAGGTGTATTTCAAAACATTCATGATTCTTTTGAAGAATTAAGTTCAGCCCATTGTAATGATAAAAATGCTCAATTCTCTCCTGGTGAGCAATATTATTTTTTCCATTTACTTCCTACTTACTTATACTCAAGTTTTTAACTCTCTACAGGCTTTAAAACCTCAAAGTTTTACCTTACATGATCAGAGAGGTTTTCAAGTCTAAGAGAGTTAATTTTTGTTTCTATACTTACTATTTTTCTCTCTTACACCATTGCAATTTTAATCTTAGTTTTTCAAAATCAACGGGATATCAATTCCATCCTATTTTTCTGAATTTTGTGCACTTTTTACACTCGATTTTATATAATTCTACTAGAGTAGACAATTTTTAAAAACCTGCATATTTTGTGACTTGTTTCAGTTTAGCTGAACGTTTAATCAAATAACGTCTTTATATGAAGGTTTAAATCTTTTTCTATCTATTTTCACTTTAGATTTTCTTGTTTTGCACAAACTTTGATGTTCTGGATTTATAAAGAAATTCTGTTTAATGGTATTTTGGTAATTGTTTGCATTAAAATTGAGTCTTTGTCACAAACTCTGATTTTTAATCCATGACTTCTGTTGGATTAAATAATTTAAGTTTGAAATGTCAAAGGTGCACACCACCAGGTTTCAAAGATAATAAAAGGGATTAGAAAGTTTGAGTTTGTGGCAAAGACTCAAAATATCTTTCCGATTTGATAAGAACTAAAAAAGTGTACAGTCCCTTTAATTTATTAGTTTTGTACAGCTTGACAGAGGTTTATACCTTTGGCATGCCCCCTATCCGGGGCTTGGCAAGGAAACTTTATTGAGCAAAATCAACTGATTTGTCGCTACTTATATCTTCCAATTTTCTATAAATGGTAAATTATCACTATCATAAGTATATTTTGAGGGTTATGAAAACCTTCTCATTTACAAATATAAAAATAAATTGCTAATACTTTGTCCTGATATTATGTTGAGGTTGCCAAAATGCTATTTTCCAGAAAATTAAAGGGACTGTTTAGATATTTGTAAACAGGTGTTTGGATGTATAATTACAAATTTTATTTAGAAAATACCTTGTTTAGATTCATCAACCCATATCAATTTTGGATTTGGTTGCTATTAATCTTACTTTTATTAATAGCGTACGTATTTGAGAAAGAAATGGTTTAAAACGCTTATTGCTTGAGTTCATATACCACTCAAACCGTGAATTATTCAATTATATTTACAGCTTATAATTTAAATATTACAATTCATAAATTCCGACTTTTATTCTGGTCGTTCGAATGTTTGTAGGACACAAGCAATTTATTCATTCAAATTTCGAGGATCCTCTATAATAGCGAATACAAAATTTTCAACCAATCGTTTGTCTCAATTATTTACACAAACGCAACTGATCGGTAATGCTGTGCTTTAAACATATTTTAGTGCAATCCGAGAATTTGCATGGGCTTCTTCGCTGTTAGCATTCAACGTTGTAACCCATTTCCCCGATGTAAAACTGCTATATTAAAAATAAACTTAGTAACGATCGAATCCAGATATGATTTGGATTCAGCCTCAACCTCTTTAGATATTTCGCAATCACTCCCTTTAAGGGCAAAAGAAAAAGCGAAGAAGAAAACAACAAACTTTTTGGTTGAATATTTTGGCTAAACACTTATCACCTATTACAAATATCTGATCAGTCCTTTTATATGAATGATAACAAGACATCAAATGCTTTCAATGTATAAATGTATAAACAACGCTTGTTCTTGAAAATGGTTCCACCAATGAATGTTTCTGAAGTACTGTAGGATCTGTATAGTGAGGACCTAGTTTACCTTCTAAACCCAGGTAAGCAAATTAAGTCCAACCCTTAGGATATCTTAAACCCTGCAACTATAAGAGGTAGGTCAATTACACAAACTAGTTTCTAATCTGTTCTAATAAGTGGAAGTCAAATATACTACCCATGTTAATATTGTCCTTTCTTAACTTTATCTTCTTTGACGCTTTTGATCCCATATTGAGAGGAGAATTTACACTTTCAATCACAAGTTTCTATGATGTTCTAACGAAAATAACCAATAACAACTTACACCGTTAACCTCAGATATGACTTTGTTGTGTAACTTAGACTTTAAAAAGGCATTTGACTTTAGAGGTTTCATAAGATTAGTTGGAAAATTTAATCTATATATACAATATTACAATACGTCTTGACAAACATACTTTAATCTATATATACAATATTACAATACGTCTTGACAAACATACTTTAAAAATCTGTAACTTTTAATAAAAGTTAAAACTCATAGATGTGGTAAATGGTAAGAGTTGTACTAGCGTGAGAAGTAATGGGTAAAAAAGGTGTGTTTGCTATGGAGGGTATTTACGTGTGGGTTGAAGTATAAGTAAACTCATCAAATCCAGATTCCAGCAATTATATGGACAAACTATTCACTGCAGCAGTACTCTTATCATATATTCTACTCCTACGAGATAGAATAGATGGATAGGAGAGATAGATAGTAGAGAAAGATAATAGATAAGTGGCAGGGGCAACTTAAATTTTTTTCCAGGGGGATTATAGCGTGCATAGCGCGCCAAAATTTGTTATGTCTTAACTATGTTGCCAAATTTTGGATTTTTATATGTTTTTAAAAATCTTCATTTTGAGTGATTAAGTTGCACCGCATGCAAAATTTATTTTTGGATCTACACTTGAAAATCAAAACTAATGGGCTAGAATTTTTTCATAGCGCCCCCTCCCCCATTTTTCTTGGTGGGAGACCTCCCCCTTACATTCCTACGTTCCCGGCTTAGGCCGCATCTGATAAGTGGTTAAATAAATAAATAGAAGCTAGAAGGATTTTTGCAATGGAAATAGAGCAGGAAAGAATGGATGGGAGGATAGATGGGAGGGAAGGGAGCTATGATGGACGTGAGGGAAGGGAGGTAGGATGGATGGAAGGGAGCTAGGAAAGATGGGAGGGATTTAATCTATATATACAATATTACAATACGTCTTGACAAACATACTTTAAAAATCTGTAACTTTTAATAAAAGTTAAAACTCATAGATGTGGTAAATGGTAAGAGTTGTACTAGCGTGAGAAGTAATGGGTAAAAAAGGTGTGTTTGCTATGGAGGGTATTTACGTGTGGGTTGAAGTATAAGTAAACTCATCAAATCCAGATTCCAGCAATTATATGGACAAACTATTCACTGCAGCAGTACTCTTATCATATATTCTACTCCTACGAGATAGAATAGATGGATAGGAGAGATAGATAGTAGAGAAAGATAATAGATAAGTGGCAGGGGCAACTTAAATTTTTTTCCAGGGGGATTATAGCGTGCATAGCGCGCCAAAATTTGTTATGTCTTAACTATGTTGCCAAATTTTGGATTTTTATATGTTTTTAAAAATCTTCATTTTGAGTGATTAAGTTGCACCGCATGCAAAATTTATTTTTGGATCTACACTTGAAAATCAAAACTAATGGGCTAGAATTTTTTCATAGCGCCCCCTCCCCCATTTTTCTTGGTGGGAGACCTCCCCCTTACATTCCTACGTTCCCGGCTTAGGCCGCATCTGATAAGTGGTTAAATAAATAAATAGAAGCTAGAAGGATTTTTGCAATGGAAATAGAGCAGGAAAGAATGGATGGGAGGATAGATGGGAGGGAAGGGAGCTATGATGGACGAGATGGAAGGGAGCTAGGATGGATGGAAGGGAGCTAGGAAAGATGGGAGGGAAGGGAGCTAGGATGGATGGGAGGGAAGGGAGCTAGGATGGATGGGAGGGAGCTAGGATAGATGGAAAGAAAGGAAACTAGGATAGATGAGAGGAAAGGGAGCTAGGATAGATGGGAGGAAAGGGAGCTAGGATAGATGGGAGGAAAGGGAGCTAGGATAGATGGGAGGAAAGGGAGCCAGGATAGATGGGAGGAAAGGGACCTAGGATAGATGGGAGGAAAGGGAGCTAGGATAGATGGGAGGAAAGGGAGCTAGGATAGATGGGAGGGAAGGGAGCTAGGATAGATGGGAGGAAAGGGATCTAGAATAGATGGGAGGGAAGGGAACTAGGATGAATGGGAGGAAAGGGAGCAAGGATAGATGGGAGGGAAGGGAGCTAGGATAGATGGGAGGAAAGGGATCTAGAATAGATGGGAGGGAAGGGAACTAGGATGAATGGGAGGGAAGGGAGCAAGGATAGATGGAAGGGGAGGGAGTTGTGCCAAATTTGTGTACTTCTTATGCCAGGGTCCAAGCCTGGTTTTTGTTTTACTGTTGGCAAGGTATGTGTACAGGTGGCCAGGCCATACTTCTTTTATCAAAACTTCACCCCCTCTCACCAATTCAAAACTTTGAGATCAGGATCCTTTATTCCAGTCGTAATATCATTAAGCCATAAATCTGAATAAAATATAAATTAGCAAAATTTTATCAAATGGGACTGTAAGTGTAATAACAAAATTTATCAAAGGGACTGTAAGTGTAATAACAAAACTTATCAAAGGGACTGTAAGTGTAATAAAAATATTTATCAAAGGGACTGTAAGTGTAATAACAAAATTTATCAAAGGGACTGTAAGTGTAATAACAAAATTTATCAAAGGGACTATAAGTGTAATAACAAAATTTATCAAAGAGACTGTAAGTGTAATAACAAAATTTATCAAAGGGACTGTAAGTGTAATAACAAAATTTATCTAAGGGATTGTAAGTGTAATAACAATATTTATCAAAGGGACTGTAAGTGTAATAACAAAACTTATCAAAGGGACTGTAAGTGTAATTTCAAGTGACTTTTCTTTAACAACGGTACCCTTAAAACCTTTGACAGATTAAGGATGATGGAAAATATGTTTGCTTCCTTCGGTATTTAGATTTTAGAAGTCATGTTAAAATATGTTTAATATATAATCTGCTTTATCCTCGATTAGTCACAGGTTTAAAGGGTACCGTTATGAATCGGTATGGTCATTTGGTTCACCGACATATAAGGTCAAACGACTTAGGGTCAAACGACATAAGGTCAAACGACCTAGGGTCAAAAGACAAACGGTCAAAAACACGACAAAGGGTCAAAATGAAAAGAAAATGTTTAATGTATTATTTCAGTGTTAGGTTAGTTTAAGACAATTTCTGGGCCGAGCGCTGCGGCTATTAGTTCAAATGAACAAAACGTGACATAAAAATATGTATTATTTAGGATTAGATTAAGACAATTTCTGGGTCGAGCGCTGCGGCTATTAGTTCAAATGAACAAAACATAACATAAAAATATGTTTTATTTAGTATTAGATTAAGACAATTTCTGGGTCGAGCGCTGCGGTTAGTAGTTCAAATGAACAAAACATAACATAAAAAAATGTATTATTTAGGATTAGATTAAGACAATTTCTGGGTCGAGCGCTGCGGCTACTTGTTCTAATAAACAAAAAAATATTTCAAACAAACCAAAAATAGTCTAAATGAAATTTTGCCCGTTTGTCGCTTTTTTTGACCCTATTTTGTTTCACCCTTTGTCGCGTTTTTGAACGCTTGCCGTTTGACCCTAGGCCGTTTGACCCTAGGTCGTTTTACCCTATGTCATTTGACCCTATGACGGTGAATCGTCATCTTTGCGTGGAATGGCACTCAAAAATTACGCTTACTGCACTAGTCCCCTTAATAAACATATTTAAAGTGAAAGGATATGAAAACAATATCAGAAACAAAAAGTGCATTATTAGAAAGGAACAAACTGATAACTCCCTTAAAACTCTAATTTTCGAATTCCTATATCTTTGAAATCTGATTTTTTGGACAAATTTATATTTTAAGCATTTATGAATTCGATAGGATCAAACAGTCAAAGTTTGTACCATCAAGATGCATTAAAATTTAAATTCAGAGTTTGAGGCCAGTGTTCAGCTCCTTTGTCGAATGGGGTTACTATTTCAACTTTGCACGCCGAGCACCGAAGATTTAGTGTATATAATAGTATGGTCGAGAAGGAAGTATATCAGTGGTCTATAGAATGGTTATTGCCTAGTGAGGTCCTGATCCAGAATCTTCTTTAATCTGGAATATGGGCGGAAACACAATAAGAAGGTCTAGGGGAAAATGAGGAAGAATTTTCTAGAAAAATGAGATGAAAGGGGGATATTTAGTACAATAGATGAAGAGCCCTATAAACATAAAGTTAATTTATCTTTTAACAATACAGCACATTTAAGGGGTTGGCGTGAAACTACATTGTAAATTTACATATCTACATAATTAGCTCAGGATTAAAAAACTAGCTGACAGTCGTTTAATTTTCACATTGTCTACAGAGAAATAGAGACGGACAAAATTTTAAATGTTAATGACTACCATGGCCATTAAGATTTACTATTAGTTCAATTAAGTATCATTGTTAAAGGGAGTGTTCGCGAAAAACTAAAGGGGGTATATACTTAAGGCGAAAAAAGCGCTTTTGATCGCTACTAATATTACTTCTGTCTGTTGCGTGTAAAAGGAGAAAATTCTTAAAAACGACTTGTACCGAATAACGTAGCGTCCATACAAATTCAGAAAGTTGCGACATTCGACTCTGATCGTAAAATAATCCATTTATTTCCAAACAAATAATTCAGAGATTACAAACAATAGTCATCGATTATTTTTCAACGCATTAGTCAATATTTCGTAATATTTAGATTTTTTCAAAATAATATTTCGCTGGCGCTGGATTTTCAAACATTCCTGGAAAATATGAAAATGTCGTCTTCTTTATCATAAATCCTCGAAATAAATGTTTTTAAAAGTAACTCTCAGATCCTGAAAAATAAAAAATATTATGAAATATCAACTGGTTACGAATGCATCGAAAAATTATCGATGACAATTGGTTGTAATATCTGAATGATTTGTTTGGAATTAAATTGATTTGTTTATGATTCGAGTTGTATATTGCAACTTTCTGAATTTAGACACTACGTTCTTCAGTATAAAGTCGTTTTTAACAATTTTCTCCTTAAAGACGCAACAGATAGAAGTAAGATTAGTAGCGATCAAAAGCGCTTATTTTTCGCTGTAAGCCTATACCCCCTTTCGTTTTTTGCGAACACTCCCATTAAACTAAAATTTCTGGGAACTGAAAAATTATATTTGTTCTGAAATATATTTGTCTATTTCATTCTTTAACTCTTGAAAAAACAGTGCATGCTCATTTCTTTTAGATAGAAATTATTTCCGACCAATTTAAAAAAATAGAAACATACTGAATTTGGTCTCTAAGAAGGTAAATTTTCTTTGTTTACATTTGCTGCATGAGTTTAATATTTAAAGTTATTGCTTGTTTTTTGTATAGAATAAAGAAACAGTTGACAATTGCCAAATTTACTTCATAGGATTTATCATCTTTCAAGAAAAACAAAAATTGTGGTTTAAGAAGAAATAATGTTCTAAAATTTCCCCTTGAAAGTGGATTGAATTTAATCCAATTCTAATGAGAAAACCCTCTAAATTAGCAAGTTATGAAGCTAAAAATGTTCAGATTAACGATTTACTGCTTGAAGTGTCTGCCCTAGACCTTCTTTTTAACATTTACTTCTTTATTATCAGAAGAAATCAAATTTTAAAGCATTTAACATAAAAGTAGTTGGGAAAAACAGTTTAAAGCAAATAACAAGATTTTTTCAGAAAACAATTTTGAAGATTTGATTCACAGTAGAAAACTCAGTCTTATCCAGGTGAGATACTTAACAACAATCTAATTAAATTAATAATAAAACTTATTTAAAGAGTTTGTTTCCCTGTTTAAAAATATAAATTATAATAAAGGTGTTAGGTGTTCTTGAGGGGCAATATTGATACTTTTAAGCAAAATAATTATAGCAGGTTTTATGTCAAAATAACAGAATTTTTCGGGTAAATTTCATTGTTTTTTTTCAATATCCAATGTGCATATGTTTAAAAAGGTTGACGATTTTTATATTCTAAATTCAATTCCTTTGTCCAATGTAAGGAAAATGGGTTTTAAATCTACAAAAATTTTTAAACAAAAATTCAGGGTATTTTGCCCAAAAGCTAGAACTATTTTGATAGAGGGTATCAAACCTTCTTTCCCATCAAGCAAACAGATTTGCTTCATAATATTTTTAAAAAGATAAACAATTCCATTAACAATGTTTCTAAAAAGATGAACAATCCATTTAGTAATTTTCCTAAATAGATGAACAATCTCTTTAATTATGTTCCTGAAAAGATGAACAATACCTTTAATAATGTTCCTAATTAGATGAACAATGCCTTGAATAATGTTCCTATATAGACGAACAATCCCTTTAAAAATGTTCCTAAATAGATGAACAATGCCTTTAATAATGTTCCTTAAAAAGGAGAACAATACCTTTAATGATGTTCTTAATTAGATGAACAATCCCTTTAATAATGTTCCTGAATATATGAACAATCCTTTAATAATGTTCCTGAATAGATGAACAATCCCTTTAATAATGTCACTAAATAGATGAACAATCCCTTTAATAATGCTACTAAATAGATGAACAAAACCTTTAATATTGTTTTAAATAATTGAACAATACCTTTAATAATGTTCCTGTATAGATGAACAATCCCTTTAATAATGTTACTGAATAGATGAACAATCCCTTTAATAATGTTCCTGAATGGATGAACAATCACTTTAATAATGTTCCTAAATAGATGAACAATCACTTTAATGATGTTCCTAAATAGATGAAAAACCCCTTTAATAATGTTACTAAATAGGTAAACAATCCTTTTAATATTGTTCCTAAATAGATGAACAATCCCTTTAATAATGTTCCTAAATAAATAAACAATTCCTTTAATTATGTTCCTAAATAGATGAACAATACCTTTAATAATGTTCCAAAATAGATAAAATATTCCTTTAATAATGTTCCTAAATAGATGAACAATACCTTTAATAATGTTCCTAAATAGATAAAAAATTCCTTTAATAATGTTCCTAATCAGATGAAAAATTCCTTTAATAATGTTCCTAAATAGATAAACAGTTCCTTTAATTATGTTCCTAAATAGATGAACAATACCTTTAATAATGTTCCTAAATAGATAAAAAATTCCTTTAATAATGTTCCTAAATAGATGAACAAAACCTTTAATGATGTTCCTAATTAGATGAACAATCCCTTTAATAATGTTTCTGAATAGATGATCAATTCCTTTAATATTTTTCCTAAATAAATAAACACTTCCTTTAATATTTTTCCTAAATAGATGAACAATTCCTTTAATATTTTTCCTAAATAGATGAACAATTCCTTTAATATTTTTCCTAAATAGATGAACAATTCCTTTAATATTTTTCCTAAATAGATTAGAACAATTCCTTTAATATTTTTCCTAAATAGATGAACAATTCCTTTAATATTTTTCCTAAATAGATTAGCAATTCCTTTAATAATGTTCCTAAATAGATAAACAATTCCTTTAATATTTTTCCTAAATAGATGCACAATTTCTTTAATAATGTTCCTGAATAGATATATGAACAATCCCTTTAATAATTTTCCTAAATAGATGAACAATCTCTTTAAAGAATCTATTTGTTCAGTGCACTTCACCATCTAGTAAAGTTTCCATGATCTCTGGAGGTCAAGTCTTAGGATTCCATGAATCTAGTCATACTATTAATAGTAGCGGGGGTCACATGGAGACACCTCTTGTAAATAACTTTACTAACTCAACAAACTCACAGGTTTACTATAAACTTATTATAATCAATTATTAAAAATTTTTTGAGTGCCATGTTTGGTTTGATTGGAACCAGTTTTTTTTATTTTTGCAATAAAAAGTCAAATACAAAAACCCAGATGTTATTTTTTTATAGAATTTATAAACTGAGAAACTAAGTTGCAAAAAAAACAATGTAAGTAGTTGTTTCAAAAATTTAGGAAAACCCTGTACTGCAAATCCAGTGTTTACTTTCAATTCCTTCAACACAAAATACAAATTTTCCATTATTATTCTGCAATATTCTAATGTAAGTAAAATTAAAAAGTATGGCTTTTTTATTTCAAATCGATAAATTCAAAACCATAATTTGATTTTTTTTTGTTTTCAAATTGAGTTCCAAATTTGTTCTAATCAAGATAGTTTTTGGTTGAATACAATTTACATTGTTTAAATTCAATGAATAAGAATGAAGTTTGAATTTAACTTTTCTTCCCTGCACCAAACAAGAACTTGAATTCAAAATGTTTAGTTTTGTTTTCAAGTTTATGAGAATAAAGATAAATTTCAGGATCCCAACGGTGTAAAACTTTCCAGGCATGAGACGCAATTTTTCAGTGAAAAGGTAGATTTTATATTTTACCCGCCAACAATTTTATTAAATCTGACTTGGGCATTTTAAACAATCTACGGGGAGTAAAAAAACAATGGAATAAACGTTAAACGTGAGATAGAAAGAATTTCTGGGATTTAAATTAATCAAAGTTTTCAACGAAAATAATTTGAATAATTAATATTTAGTAGAGTGGCATATCTGATTCACAACGGTAACCTTTAAAGCTTTTAAAAATCTGCAGCAGACATTTTTTTCTATTTCCTCATTGTTACTTAAATAAATCTAAAATTATTGAAATTGTTTTCAGGCCCAGAACCCACATCGGAGCATTTCACTGCAAAATACATTCTAATATATTTTTATAGAATCTCTAATATAGATAAACTCATTCATATAATTTATATAAATATTTAAAGTATTGCTCTTCTTCCCATTCTTAATATTTATCTAGACCAAGTTGTTTCTGGACGGGATTATGTAATAATTAAACGTTTTCGTAAACTTTAAAAATTGTGGCAGCAAATATTACAAAATGATCCATTATATTTTTCATTAATTTAAAGGCTAAATATTTAGTATTTTTCAGTTGATGCTTACAATCAAAGCCATAATATTTGAAGATAGTTAATCATGTAAAGAATTTGAAGAAAGCCAACCATGTAAAGAATTTTAAGAAAGCCAACCATGCAAAGAATTTGAAGAAAGCCAACCATGTAAAGAATTTGAAGAAAGCCAACCATGTAAAGAATTTGAAGAAAGCCAATCATGTAAAGAATTTGAAGAAAGCCAACCATGTAAAGAATTTGAAAAAAGCCAACAATGTAAAGAATTTGAAGAAAGCCAACAATGTAAAGAATTTTCCAAATCTGTAGTAGCAACTGGCAAGTAAAGAAAAGTTTAAAAAAACGCTATCACCGGCTTTTTTTCTTTTTTGTACTGATTTTCACCACACAACATCTAAAACTCTAAATTTTCGGCTTTTATAAAAAAGGAGAAAAATTATACATGGAGCCCTGACGTCAACTTTAAAATTTAAAAACCTATTTACATTGTCTCTCCATGCAAAGCATTAGCAATATCTAAAGATAATTTTTCGATTCTCCTGATTATTATGCATAAAGCTGGTGAAATTGCATAAAGCTGGTGAAATTTGCAAAGCTTTTCAAAAGATGCAGAAATCTGGAAACATGATGAATGTTTTAACAGAACTAAAATTCATAAAACTTTTCAATGGTAAACTTTATTTTTAACAGTATTTTTCGGAATCATTAAATTTCTAAAGTTTTACAAAATAAAGAGCTTCCCAACATAATTTAATACGACCCACATAAAAAAATGCCATAAACTATTTAGAATAGCTACTTTTTTATTCCTTGCTTAAATTCTAATTTCTAAAATAAAATAATTACGGTTTCTTTCAGAAAATCCGCGACCGTAGATTTTTGTTTTTCCATGGGCGGATACAGGATTTAAGGGGGTGCAAAGGTACTGCCGCCCCCCCCCCTGTATCCGCCCCTGGGTTTTTCTATTGGATTTCCAACACTGTGGAAATGAGAATCTTTTACAGAATCGTTTATGGCATTTTGAAAATGTAAGGTCACCCAAAAGAAGATTCCAATTTCTTTTAGAGGATCAAAAACGGAAACTTTTGTTGAAAAAAAATCAGGCCTTTTTTTAATGATAAATCACATTGTTTTGCCTTTAAATCTGCTCTGACTTGTAATAAACTGTTAACAGTTTTGTAAATACAGCCAACCAGCCATTCGATCCAGAAACATATTGTATATACATGTACATACTGTACATACTCTACACAATTCTAATATTCATTTAAGAGTTTGTAAAAAATCGAAATTAGCTTTAATTATATGAAATGTTGTACGAAGCCAGCTCAGAGTTGTATTTGCTGCTGTTTAATATATAGATTATAAAGCCAAGTTACTCTGTAAACAGAGAGGAAACTCCGCCCCTCTTTTAAACATCAAACAATGTTAGTTGATTAAATTTTACAACAAGTTTGAATTCATCGATTTTTTGTTCAAATATACTTATTAAATATAACAAACAAAATTGTTTTTGTTATAGTAATAAGACATTTTTAAAAATACACATTTTATTTTTCATTTTTTGCCTTGAGTTATCTGACTTTTTGTTTAAAATCTAGAATTAATGATGTTTAATGTTGATTTTATTGTTTAACCAATGCTTCTAAAAAAACACCGAAAAACAAAGTTTGCATTCAGATCCTGTTTTTTGCCAACTTGAGGTAAAAATATATAAACGATTTACAACTGTACCTTTCAGCTTTATTTCAAACATTTTCAATTATATTTTGTGTTACCATTATTTCTAGAAAGTACTTATTAATTTCTTCATCAAAGAAGAGCGAGAAACTGGCCAAAATGATTCCAATTTTAACACTATGATCGTTTTATTTGTTATACATTGTCTTAGAAGCTAAATTGTGTTTGTGTTTAATATATTCTCAATATTTAAAGATGGACGAACGGCCACTTTAAAACAATAGCCTTGTACAAATACCAAGAGTGCATTCTAAATAGGACTGTTCGTGAATTAAGACATGGCTCTGTTCTGCTTCATGCCAGTCCAGGTTTTAATTTATGAGCATATCCTCTTGTATAAATTCATTGTTCTACATTTCTCTATTCTAAATTCGCTCATGCAAAAGACTGCAAATTATTTCACACTTGTCCGAATCAGCAATATATATATAATATGCATATAATAAATTAGCTATTAACCTATTTAGATACTTAGTATTTAGATTTATGCTTAACTTACAGTTTTAATATATATAATGTGATGGTCCATATAAACTGTTGTGTTGAAAGGTTAAAAAGAGAATATCTTAAAATACTTGACATACATATATTTTTTTATAGAGAAAGATTTCAGCTGATCAAATTCATGTGAAATCTTAAATTCTAGAATTTCAATATCCACAAAGTTTTTTTAAATGTCTGGTTTGGACCCCAGTTTATCCACTTAAATCTATATTTGGCCCTGCACTAGAGATCTATATCTGACCATTTAGATCTATAGCCTTCTCAGATCTCTATTGGGCTCACTCAGATCTACTGTTGGACCGATATATTTTAGCCTACTTAGATCTATATTTGGCCCCCTCGGATCTATAGTTGAACCGTCCAGATCTATTTTAGCCTTCTCAGGCCTGTATTTTGCCCACTCAAATTTTTGGTTGGACCGTCCAGATCTAATTTAGCCTATTCATATCTATATTTGGCCCACTCACACCTTTAGTTGAACCGTCCAGATCTATTTTAGCCTACTTAGATCTGTATTTGGCCCACTCAGACCTATAGTTGGACCGTCCGGATCTATTTTAGCCAACTTAGATCTGTATTTGGCCCACTCAAATCTTTAGTTGGGCCGTCCAGATCTTTTTAACCTACTCAGATCTGTAGTTGGCCCACTCAAATCTTTATTTGGACCGTACAGATCTATTTTAGCCTATTATGATCTTTATTTGGCCCACTCAGACCTATAGTTGGACTGTCCAGATCTATTTTAGCCTACTCTGATCTGTATTTGACAAACTCAGATCTATTTTAGCCAACTCAGATCTGTATTTTGCCCACTCAGATCTATAGTTGGACAGTCTAGACTTATTTTAACTTATTTAGATCTGTATTTGGCCCACTCAAATCTTTAGTTGGACCGTCCAGATCTTTTCTAGCCTACTCTGATATGCATTTGGTCCACTCAGAGTTATAGTTGGACCGTTCAGATCTATTCTAGCCTACTCTGATATGTATTTGGCCCACTCAGAGTTATAGTTGGACCGTTCAGATCTATTTTAGCCTACTCAGATCTATAGTTGGACCGTCTAGATAAATTTTAACCTACTCAGATTTATATTTGGACATCTCAGATCTATTTTAGTCTAATTAGATATAAAATTTAACCTCTGAGATCTATATTTGGCCTAGTTACATCCATATAAATGGCCTACTCAGATCTACATTGTATCTCACTCAAATCTAAAATTTGGCCCACTGTAGTCTATATTGGTCCAGATAAATAGATCTGATATCATATCATAGTTTAAAATGTTATAAATATCTTGTATAATGTAGATTTATTACAGTATAAAGTATCGAAATATATAATTCTGTTGTTTAATTATTGTATTTTATTTACAAGATACTGAGAGAATTTATGTTAAATAATAATAAGAAAAATTGATTTAATATATTGAAGAGTTCATGTAGAGCTTGAGACCTTGCTGAGCTCCAATGCAACACTGCACCATTCTGTTTAATATAATTTGAGAGCTTGTAAAAGTTTAAATGGAATCTTTAAAATCAACAGTGCGTTAAAATCTGATAAGAATTGTTCTAAAACATCATTTGAACATTCATGGAAGAACTAATACTGTTTAATCTGTTACAAAGACACTAAGATTTTTCGAATACATTTTTTCCCAAATAATTTTTCTTTTCAGAATTGTTGCCTATTTTTAATATAAATACTAAGCCATAAAAATATGTAAAACTTCTTGAACCCAGGATTAACAGCACAAAATCTGTCTTTTTAAATCAATTTGAAATTGAATGATTACTTGCCTTTAAGATCGTGAAAAGTTGTTTACAATTGAATAATATTATTAGTAAAGAATTCTGTAATGTATGTTGTATATTAGTATTACATAAAGAAAATGATAAGAGGTAAATATTGCTGATGGAAACTGCAGTAATGATTAGTTTCTTTTATACAAGAGCTAGCTATCTAGCTAGTAGTTTCTTTTTTACAAGAGCTAGCTATCTAGCTAGTAGTTTCTTTTATACAAGAAGAGCTAGCTATTTAGCTAATAGTTTCTATTATATAAGAAGAGCTATCTATCTAGCTAGTAGTTTCTTTTATACAAGACCTACCTATCCAGCTAGTAGTTTCTTTAAAACATGAGCTACCTATCTAGCTAGTAGTTTCTTTTCTAGCTATCTAGCTAGTAGTTTCTTTTATACAAGAGCTAGCTATCTAGCTAGTAGTTTCTTTTATACAAGAGCTAGCTATCTAGCTAGTAGTTTCTTTTATACAAGAGCTAGCTATCTAGCTAGTAGTTTCTTTTATACAAGAGCGAGCTATCTAGCTAGTATTTTCTTTTATAAAAGAAGAGCTAGCTATCTAGCTAGCTGTTTCTTTTATACAAGAGCTAGCTATCTAGCTAGTAAAGACCCGCTATATTGAGGGTTCAGGGAAATAAAAAACATTTACGAGTTTATGATAAATTAAAAGAGTAGACCGTGTGGGTGAACCTTCTCTTTAGATTAAATCAGTTAATACATTTTGGTGTTTTAACTTTTTAACTTTTAGCTTAAAGGGAGTGACCGGCATTGTATAGTAGTTGAACTGAGAATTTAGTATTGTGAAGAAATTTTTTAGGATTCATTTTTATACTTATAAAACGTTTTAATGATGTATAATTTCTGAGTTTTAGCACAAAGTCGCTTTGAGAATAGTTTTTTTTAAATTATTAGATAACGACGACAACAAATATTAAAAGATTTTTCAGTAATCTAATGAGATGTTTAGGAACATATTTCTCGATTGAAATTTTCTCAATAAATCAATTTTAGTATCAATTATTTCTTTTTCATCATTATATTGAATTTATTATTCTTCACGAATTTGTTCACATATTGCTTCAAATTCTTCAATGAAAATTTCAGGAAATCTACAGAAAATGTTTGAGAACAATAAGACATTACAGAAACCAATAACTGAATAAGATTAATTATTTTCGATGAAAATAGTTAATTTTTATTTTATAAACCAGGTTCTAAACAACTAATAAGTTTAATGTAGAATTTTTACTACTTTTTTTGTCGGCGCTTGTTTTAATAATTTTTAAAAACCGATTCTTAAATTATCAAATTATCAAAAATGAAAAATCTATAGAAATTTTAAAGATTAATATTGCGCTCTTGCTGAACAAATATGCACCGTAAAAACGTCTCATTGGTTTCAAATGATTCCTAAAAAATGATCGTCAACTCTCGACGAATCATAAAAATAAAGAATATTCCAGAATAAAATTCATCCTACCTCAACGTTCAGGGTGACACAGGTTCGTAACTCCGGGTTGACTGCAACTATGTAGATAAAGTCGATCGTCATTGTGCTGCAATAAACCGCTAGCAAGTTCAAAACTTAAATTACAAAAAATTCGATGATAACCCCGTTCTCATCCTATATTTTCTTTCCGTAGTGCTCCTCCGTCCTTTGAACTACTGGTAGAACTCAAGCATATATCTTTTAATTCTCAATGAACCGGAACTTGAATAACACAATCTAAATCCATCTGCGCGAGAATATATGCTTAAAAATTTTCTAAAGATATTTATCAATACTAGAAAATTGACAAAAAATGAAATAATATCATACTGGGATCTGCGCTGCGATCAGCTAAAACTTCCGACTCTGCTTTTGTCTGCAAACGGTTTGGTTTGGCTTGGATACTCTTTCCGGTCCCTGGATTCCCTAAATCCACTAAACAAAAATTTCTCCACAATACTTCATTATCATTTATCAGTTCAACTACCATACATCGCCGGTCACTCCTTTTAACAACTATTATTCTTTGTTGTAAGAATCCGTGTTTTAAAGTTAGATCATAATAGAGATTGGTATAACTGATTGGTTAATAGGTTCTTAAAGCTAAAGGAAATAAGTTTTTGCCACAATCTCGAATTGTCTGATCCCTATATCTTTGCAAACTAATTTGTAAACCTTTGAAATTCAAACATCGATTACTTTATCGGCGTCAAACCTTATAGAAATCCATCGTATAGAAACTGCTACGTATAGCAACATGGCGTATTTTCCGGGAGAACATTTTTTATATTTTTGAGAAATTAAACGTTTTTGTAAAACATTGTAGCTTATCATTATCATTATAATAATTTCTATTTTTTTAACATACCCTAGACATTAAAGGAGCAAAATAGTTTAATATGTACATTTGTACTTATCCCTATTGTTTTTAAGGTCCCCCAGATTTTATTATGTACTGACAACATAAATATGGTTATACATAAAATTGCATGTTATTATTTAAAAAAATATTTGATAAAAATGCTATCTACAGTTTTATTTTTAGAAAAAAAAATTCTTAAAAGTATAAAAAAAGGATTTAAATAAAAGGATTTTATGAAAATTATATCTACTTTTAACGACTCAAAGAAGTTCGTAGTAAGATTTCGATTCTACTGGAGACCACCGGAGGGATTTCATTTTCACTGGAGGGGTTTCAAAAAATGCCTTTTACAATTAAAACTTTACGCAGGGTGATTTACATTCCACTGGAGGGATTCAGATATCCTTCCTGGGGGGGTTATAATTCCACTGGAGGGATTCAGTTATTCATCCTAGGGGTTTATAATTCCACTGGAGGGATTCAGATATCCTTCCTAGGGGTTTATAATTCCACTGGAGGGATTCAGATATC